AGATCGAGCACGGGAAGCCCGGAAGCTCGGATTCTGGAACAATGTCAGCGTACCAGTTGGTCAAAAAAGTGATCTTGTCGGTAGACATGATGGCAGAAATATCAAGCTATTGAAATACTTCAATTGGGTCAGCATGCCAAGAGAGAACGCATCCAGCTCTACTCTACCCATGCTGTTCTCCGTTCAACCTATGTATTCAATTGAACGGAAAGCAGCAGTGTGAGTAGAGCCAGACACAAAACACAAAACAGGGGAACAATCAAAGTCACGCATGTCCTTTCGCTAGTATTGTCTAGATCAAGTTTTGACAGTATAATCTCAGAACAGCCAGCCAGTCGGTATGGGAAAAAGAAACCCAACACACTCCAGGAGACTGGAGTAGGTTTATAGTTCTCCCCAATCGACTGGCTGGACCGAACACCTGTCATGCGAGGGCAACGACTGTTATACGAACAAATACCTTGATCCATCTCTTCATCTTAGCGAGGACAAAGTCCTGCGACCCAACGGGGTCCTGGACGTGCGCGGCTCCATTGGAGAGTCGTACCGATGGTAGACGTGAGTCGAGTTGGATTGAAGTTGGATTGGAGTTGAGTGTAGGAATGAGAGAAGATGGAGGGGCAGGAGGGGTAGAAATACCACGCAGAAATACGATGAATCATACGAAGTACTTCGCTAAAGGCTGGGGCCGGAATAATCGACTGTGATTGATCAAGTTCCTAACTCTATACTCCGTACGGAGTATTCACGCCGGGTTAGGATGCAATAGGATGCAAGTGTCAAGTGGATAGAGTCGGAGTTCATCCCTCCGGATTACAACGGATATCCTCGCAACGTATAACTTCCATGTGATTCAGTTTAATTAAAGAACAAACATAGGCTTCAGATGCACTGCTAGGAAAAGATCATATAAAGCAGAGTGATTAAACAAGTACAGATGACGTCACGAGCAGAGTGTCCACTCCAAGGGCCAATTGTGAGGTTGACAGCTAAGCGACAGGGTTTCAACACCCTCAACTAGTCTGTCCGATATCCGGCGTCGGACCCTTCGCGGCCGTTGACCGATATACTGTCCAGTGGGGACGATGAGCGTTCGGCCATCTTGCGGGTTCGCAGTGTGAGGGGGAAGTGCTCTTCGGGCTCTTCCTCTTCACTATGGAATGTATTAGTATTTGACAACATCAATCATACAATGGAACTTACGGCAATTTCCAGGCAATATAATCCTCAGTGCTCAATCCCTCGTGGCCTTCCTGCAGAGAGGCAAAGTCACCGGGAGTCATCATCCCGGAGCGATCCCGGGGAGATCCAGGAACCGAAAGCGGGCGGGAGAGCTTCTGCTCCGTTCCTCCAATGATATCGAAGTAGTCCTCTTGGCCCTCGAAGGAGGAGGGATAAGCTGTAAAAAAAAAGAATTAATCATAATCACCGACAACACAAAAACGAACTGCAACATACCTCTTCTCAATGCCAGCTGACGAGCCTTGACATATTCCAAGCCCATTCTTTTCCAGTCGAGCAGATCGCTCAGGCGCTCCGTACGGTTACGCTGGTTAATGCGCTGGCGACGACTCTTCTCCGTGAAGTTGAACATAAACTCGGTCAGTTGGTTGACCGAGTCGTCAACGCCCTTGGAGCGACGGTCGACGATGTAAATTCCGTAATCGGACGAGTTTTCAATCAATTCCTCCATATAGCAACCGAATCCAGACAGATTGGTGGTGATGCTAGGCACACCCATCACGGTACATTCGGCCGGTGTGTATCCCCACGGCTCGTAGTAGGAGGGGAAGACACCCAGATGGGTTCCGCGAACGAAGTCGTCGTAATCAAGCGGCAATACGGGGTTGGCAGAGTTGAGGAATTCGGGGTGGAAAATAACCTTCACCCGGTCGGAGGAGTGGTTGAACAGCTGAACGCGACGCAGCTGGTTCAGGATTGGGTCCTCGTGGTCATTGACCATGTTGTGGGTGACGATAGGGGGCAGACCGGTGCGCTTCATGCCGAACAGGCGACGGCGGAGCATCACACGATCTTGACTGGTGATGAGATCTTTCTCGTCGGGCATGTTGTCGCCCTCCTTCCAGGAAAGGCAGCGCTCATACATGCGCTTGCCGATCCCCTTCTCGATGTTCTCGACGGTGTCGCGCAGAGACTTGACGACGGCCTGTCCCTTGAGCGCTTCCACTGTCAACGAAGAGGTCTGCGCGGGCATAATAATGAACGCGACGACAGTCATCGTTGACCCAGCGGCCTTCAGTCGATGATTGAGGCGGGCCAGCCCCTCAATGAACATATCGACACCCTTGTTGCGGTATTCGTAACGACCGGCAGTGAAGAGATATAGAGTATTATCCAGGTCGAAGTCGTTGTGGCCGTAGAAATGGCCACGAACGAAATCGTTGATCTTCTCCTTGGCCTGGGAGTGCAAGTTCTGGAACTCGTGCATGGCAGAGAATTTCTTGACATTCAGACCATTAGGCAGCACACCATCGGGTTTGCGCTTCAGCAGGTGCTCACTCTCAAACGCAGTGATGTGCGACACAGTGGTGAAGACATCACAGGCATGAGTAGCAGCGCGCTCAATGCAGTAGCGGTGGTAGATTCCTCGCTTCCCGGCCTCCGCATCCACATCAAAGTACTGAAGGTTATTATAGAAATCAACCGAGCCAGCACAGAGGTAACGACCCAATAATGTCGCGTGGGTGGTGAAGACGGTTGTGAGGTCCATATGCCGCTTCTTGGTCAGTGGCAGAGCGACACCAGCCAACCATTCATGGAAATGGGCAATGACTGCCCGGCGACGGTCATGAGCAATGTACTACAGCGAGAGCATGGTCAGTCATGCACTTTTGCCATCTCCAACGTAGACAATATTGCTGGTACGTACCTCTCCCAAGAACCAAGCGACCAGGTATCCAAAGACGATGGCCTCGTTGGTCTCATTGTCACCAGCGGGAGACGGGATGGCCGAGGTGTTCCAAAGATCACCCTTCCACTCGTCCAGCCACCTATAGCCAGTCCCCGTATCAATGAGGAGAACTCGGGGAGCACCCTCGATGAGCCAGCGACCGTAGACGATGTCAATGCCGCGCTCTTTCATGGACTGAATCGTGTCCCGCATGGCCGGGTTAGACGGCGAGAGCTCTTCCACCTCCACAGCAGCCGAAGCCCTGTTGAGAGGGCCGATCATGGTGTACCGCTCGCCATACTCAGCGGTGGTCACAGGCGCTTTGGACTTGAGAACCGAGTAGATCCCGCCTACTCGGTTCGCCACCTCAGTAGCCACCTCGAAGAGCATGTGATTGCGCACATCACGCTTGATGGGTTCACCATTTTCCTCCATTGTGCTCAAGGCCACAGAAATCACAGAAACACAGAAAAGCGAAAGAAAAATGAGACGCGAGAATGGGGGAGGGTTGGACGCAACAACCTTGGAAGAGCTCTTCGACTCGGTCTGTGCGGGGAGAAGTGGACCTTTTGCCTTGGGCTCTTCTGGGGGAGGCTGGGGAGGAGTAGGGGGGCAATGTCGATCGGACTGAAGATGTTGAAGCGAAAGAGATATATTTTAGAGCAGACACAGCAGCACACGGAGTACAACAATTCCCGTTCCTCGTTCCGGTCAAGGGTTTTTCTCCGGACTGGCTGACGGGTGTGACCACAGGACTTTTTGCCGCGAAGAAGTCTCTGTTAGGGAAATCCCACCCGAGACTGAGGAAAAGGGCGTATGATGTGCTCAGGAGATTTTATATTAATCTAATGTCTATCCATGGATACAGGTCTCTTTGCTTGGTATGTAACAGTCGTAGCAGTACCCAAGTGGCATCGCCATCGCCCCACGCCGTGTACTCGCCTCTCTCTCCGTTCTATCCCCGATATTCCCCTTTCTCCTAGGTTTCGCCCGGTTTTTCCGATTATTGGGCACCTGATCTGCATTTATTCGCCTTCAATCCCCGTCTCCAAAGCTCAGGGCCAATCCAATTGCAGTTTCTCTTCGGGTCTGGGGAAAGCTGGAGCCATGATGTCATCTCACATTCTACTCCACTGAACGGCGTCGGAGGGACCCGCCGGAGCTTGATCTTCTACAAATCGCCGACCAAGATGGCCACGAATGGCTTGAGATGGCTTCAACCATCTGCATTTATTGGCGGGGAGGACGCGCGGGCCATGTTGGAGGGGATGATCGTCTTGGCAGTTATCCAATTCCCTCATTGGCGTTGAGATATGCCTATACCGTATGACATGGCAGATGCAAACTACTTTTTTTGTACAACACTGTGTTCCTGGTCTCTACCTAGGTTGCCCCCTGCCTGGTCGGAGGGGAATATCTCCGAGATCCTGCAATGTTTGACCTACCTCAAGGATGCTTCCACCGGGGCAGTACCAGACAATCATGTCCACGATGTTTACGGATAGATTCTGCAAAAGAACCCCAGGATGATGAAGCCGCTTTCTTTTACCCTGCTAGCTGCCTACATGGGTAGGTAGTACAGCAGTTGACTCATCATAGTAGAGACACTTGGGAACAAAGAGCCCATCGTTGACAGAATCATCAACAAAGAACCTCAAAAGTCGCAGACCTCTGTTTGTTCCCATCCTCATTGTAACTGAGATGGAGTCCAGTCCTCATACCTGTAGAGAATGTTGTGTTACTTGCTCGAAAAGCATCAACTGAAAGGCCCATTGATGTCGATCTCGGAGATACCAGTATACCAGTCCAGAGAAATATAAAAAGCTGAACGAGATGAGACCTGAAGAAAGACAGCTTCTGCATCCTCCTGTCCTTCAGCATCTCTCTCTTCTGATCAACCCGACTTCCGATCTTCAATCATCCGTCTCATTAGACATGTCTGAGAAGCAGGCGCGCAAGAGGGCCAAGATCAAGCGTTGGTTGAGAAGTTGGGTATTCACTCCGCTGGGTAAGGTGAGGATCAAGTTGATCAACAAGACTGAACGGAAGCGCTGTCGAAGTATCTCGGACCGTGAGCTCAATTGGATCGTTACTGGATCTTACGCTGATCGATATCCGTCTCGCTTTTATCGGGGCCGCAATGGTCGTCAGTTATCGAGCCCAGCGAGGAAGAGGTTCCTGCTCGAGACTGAGGATAACCTATCTCTGGTAGAGCTTGTGTTTCCTATGTCCACACGGTCAGGGAGTTCACAACACCAGCCTTCTAGACCTGACTTTTGTGACAGAGTCGAACTTGCTGTGACTACCGTCCAATCTGATTATCTTCATGACCCCCGTGGAAGCTGGCGAGGGGGTGAACATTCTGCGCTGGGAAGCATGAATCCGGACTTGGCTGAATTGAGTAGTGACGGTGAAAGGTCTAAGTCAGGCCCCGTTTGTGTATTTGAGGTTGGTAGAAATGTGTACGAGCTTTCCGCAGTTAAGGTAATGAGCCCAAACTTACCTGCAGAGTTAAGTGGTGGAAATCAATCTGGGCAGTCACCTTCCCTTTATGCCGAGTCTGACGGTGAGATGGCCAAATTCTCTGTGGTTGAAGAGCTGCCTCCTCAGCTTCCCGATTTGTATTTCATCCATCAACCCAACCCATCATTATGCTGTCTCATCAGTTCAGCTCTTCAGAACTTGCTCTCACCGGTCCCTTTGGAGAACGGTATCTGCTCCTGTGTAAAATCCTCACACAGTATTGAGCCATCGATTCAACATTTGTCCTCGGATATGTCACGGTCATCCATCAAGAGGGCCAAGCCCCGGATGACCACCGCAGAAGTCCTCATTCGCTATGCAAAGAAAAGACGAGATGCCATCATAAACAATAGGTACATCTCACCATATGCTCCTTTACAACCACGACCACTCCGAATTCGGAAAGATAATAATGTCACCAGCGAACCGCAGCATGATGTCCTGTCCGCCATTCCCGTGGAGACGTCTCATGAGGTGACAGCACCAGTGCATCGTCCACGATACAGTCTCCGCCGTAAGATTTTTCACGGCGCATTACCTCCTCTACCTCCTTCGGCACCTACCTCCCGTCCATTCAGTGGTTCATCCATTCCATCTTCTTCGTCTGAACCAGCAAGACTTAGCTCTCAGGCCCTTGGCATCTCATCCACTCCTGCATCTTCATCTCGACCAGCAACCAATGGTCTTCCACAGTACCCTGACCGGCGAACATCGATGTGCGGTGGCTGCCTAGAAGGACGACACCGTCCTCTCCACAGCCATCCATATCATCGCCATGGCGACAACAACCCGCAATCTGGAAGTCCCCCACTGCCATATCCACTTAGCCCGCGGGAATTCCTAAACCGCCTCCCACCTGGAATTGATTATGTTCCACCTTCGCTCATGGCTGGCCCGCAGTGCCGGCACTGCACGACCCGCCGATCTGGGATCGGTTCTCCCCCAGGATTGGTTGGTCCTCGGGCGTTGAATCGTGTCTCCGTCTCCCTCTCAGACACCGCACCTGACTCGCCTTGGGCTGGCCCTGTAGACTCCATGGCGTTCTATTATGACTCTGATGAGGACTTGCCTTTGCCCGTCGAGTCTGATCACGCCGAGAGTGTTGGTCCATCTGGCTTTGAAATGTGTCTAATTGCGGGATCGGCTGCTCAAAGTCGTAGATACCGTTGAGGGACAAGTTGGTGCCGACATTCAGTGAGGGTCGATCTGGAATACCCGCTTCTTCTTATTACGTTTCCCTAAGTTGGTCTGTGTCAATCTCTTGTCAGACTCTTAATTATGTTAGAATCAATCTTTCGGGCATCAGAACCATCAAAAATCATAAAAATAAATGATTCTTCCATACCAAATGTATCTTTTCACTTAATCTTTTTGGATGTTGCTGGCAGACAACGAAAAAGGAACGTATACAACGTAACCCTAGTATGAAAACGGTCGCATATATATTCCACGCAATGAACAAAACTTGAAAGTTAGTTACCTCACCACAATTCTTTAATAATATCATTTACTAATGGTTCTCTCGATCCATGACCTTCCATTGAATTTCCAGACCCAGTTCCAAGGCAGTTGAGCTAAGATCTTGGTACCCCAACTGCCATGAAGTCATACTCTCCACTATGAGTTCAGAATGTTGTCACGGCCGAACACATCGAAAACCAAATGACTATAAGTATAACTATCAAATACTCCTCTTTCAATTACTACATAACGAAAAAGAAAAAAGAAACCATTCTACATAAAACTACATTTCACATTTCCCTCCTCTCCTACCAAAATCAACCAAAATGGTCCGCGGCGCAGAATACGACAACGGTGTCCCCCAGAGCGACAACCCTATCGAGAACGGTCCCAACAAGGCCCACGGAATCGGCAGTGAGGTGAGATGCGCACCAAGTAACTCCAATTGAACTCTACTAACATTCCACAGCCCGCAGACCTGAGCCGCTCCCACAAGGCTGCCCCTTTGCCAGAGCAGACTGGCTCCGGCCGTGAAGTCCACCCTGGATTGCCTACCGCTGGATCGGCGCATCCCCAAGGTGGTGCTGCACAGCCTGTTTCCCTTGATGAGAAGAACACTGCTGGAAAATAAGTGCGGTGATTTTATAGTATGCGGATGGCGATGACCCTGTATGAGTATGATATTGGTGTTTTTGATATTTTGCATACAACATACGTATTGGATAATGCCTGGAGATTGAGACCTTTCCCTTTCCGTATCATTGCTCACCTCTTGCCGCTTGTTGATCAAGTAAACTGAGCACGTGACTGCTTTCTCCTTCATAGTCTTGCAATTGAATAGTTATCACAACCACAATTACAAATCAAACATAGTAATTAAAAAAACGAATGTCACACCCATTTCAAGCATCTTGGCCAGCGGGCATTCCCGAGGTTCGCCTGTATCCGACCGATTTGGACTCGGAAGAGCTTGCGGATGAGGCCAAGGGGTGGTTGCTGTTCGTACGGGTATGGGTATGGTAGACTATAAGACTGTACCCTTCTTCAATGATAAGGTTGGTATCGACGATTTATCTTACTTTCTGTAGGAAGAATCCCAACCCACGTCAACCCCCGCAGATGCGCTGCATCACCGGCGAGCCCTAATCGAGAGATGGGCCACTGCCAGCCAGGGATTCCGCGAGGTCCGTATAGTTATACCCTAATATTAATGCCTTTTCTAATTTACTCTCTTTTCCCCCTCCTCCGTTTTCTTAAAGTACTTGAGAATGAATAGAAAAAATTACGAAAATACAAACGAGCAGTACAGTCCTACTATCAACGTGCCCCAGGTTATGACTCGGCTCTCGACTACCCTCCGTCCAACATACGGAGTACGGAGTAGTTAGTTGTCAATTCCTCTGTTGGCAACCAGGCTGGTCCGTTGATATATTTTTCCGCTCCGAGACGAAGTTGCTGGTACTTGAGAGCACTGGACCCCCCAGTCAAATCTGTCACCGATGTCTATCATACATACGTATTCTACATCCTACACGGCCCATTGTACGTTTCAAATGCGAAGGAATTGCCTGTCGCTTCACTGGCTTCGGCCTTCAATTAGTCCGATATGTTTCGCGGTGCTTTTTGGCCCTTGTCTTCCTTGCACAGCACTAGAAGCCTTCGTACTGCGCGATATTTTCATCAGGTCACAACAGATTTCGTTACCCATGATGCGAGAGGGAATTTAGTTACCAGGAAGGTGCCTATTATTATTGGCAATCCGGGGGAAACTTATGTTCTGATTGAAACAGGGATTGGCAGTGCACTCCGTGCCGCTAGCCCCTTTACATTTCCTTCCGCGGCTAGTGCTGAAGATAGATGCAAACTTACATTTTTTCATGATTCACAACACTTTGGGTTTGGTAAGTTGTCAGCGAGAGGTTTATATAGCCGATGCTAACAGTTTATTAGGAACATCGAGTTATCCCCGTCTCTATATCCCAAGCCAACTCCCTCGTCAAACAGAATCAAATGAAAGCCCTGCAACTTTGCTCTTAGACGGAGTGATGCACGAGATATTTCTAGATGGGACTTTTGATGGTACATATAATCCAGCTACAAATACTTCCCGTCTTACGCATGCTCATCTATAATGCCTATCCAGCAACTTTTGCGGAGTACGCAAGCGCTACTGCACGGAACCTGAAAAGCGTACTTGACAACCTGAAGGATATGTAATGTTAAGCTTGATTTTACTATAGCCATGTCGGGAATCTTTCGATATAAGACCGTTGAGACGGATTGGCAACATATGACTAGAATCCCGAGAGTAAATGAGAAATCCCAATGTCATCGAGACTATCGGGTCAGTATCATCATAGATCCTTGAAATTCACAACTGGATGTAATATTTTCTAAATTTGTCTGCAAATATGCACAAGTCAATCCATGCACAACATTATGATTCAGTTATCAATATCCCCATCAAGGCAAGCGTGGCGGACACAACACAGTCTTGACTAGACAATGTACAGTAGATAAAGTGATACGAATAATCACTAAATCAACAACAAAGGTTTACATCATGATACACCTCCTTCCCTCCCCTCTAGAGCTAGAACCAAAAGAAAGGCTAAGACGGAGGATTAACGTGCAAAACAATATCAATTTGTGACTATGAATCCCACTTGAAGCTCGCAAACAATAGGACTGGATACTGTGAGCCGCCTAGACACCATTCAAAACATCGATGATGTCGACGGAGAGTAAGAGGCTAGTACTCAGTAGCTGAGCTTCTATACTCCATGATGTCTGCAATCACCAGACCAAGAGGCGATGCCACAGACTTGTAATAAGTTCCTAACTGTTCAGCGGTCCACTGATTGGTAACGACGGCGATGTGAGCATTTTCTAGGCCCTTTTTGTGTAGGTCCTCCGCGAATGGTACCTTTTGAAAGTAGTAGCTTGGAAGACTGTTAAGAATCGAAGCGTTTGTGTAGCCATTCCGAAAGAAAGCAGGCGAGAGGGAAATGAGTCGTATGTTCAAATGGAGTTGTGATTTCCAATAAGCAACCTTACTGATAAACCCTTAAAGACATCAACAGAAAATACGATTTGTAGGAGAGATAGTAATCGACTTCAATGAAAGAGAAGACGCAAATATTTATAGTCCTCTCAGATGCTACCTATCCAAGGCTGTTGGGTTACAGGAAGACTCGTCCTGGTGTTCTCCGGGAGTATTGGATTAGAACGCCGTATTTCAGCAAGAGAGTTAAACTTGCCTAGGTATGCGTACGCATAATGTCCACTTCATCAAGGGCAGGTGATACAATTTTGATGAGATGGGGCAAATATTAGAATTTCATGCTAAGTGACCTTAGATCCATCTCTTGTTTTCTCATGAACATACCGAAAGGGCGATACCCGCCACCAAAATTTCAAGGCGCACGATACTGTAGGCCGATGAGAAAAAGCCTAGACCTACTGCATCCGCTAAACTAGGAAATAAGCTGCCCAGGTCCAAGGGCTGTATCTGACTCTAAGCTACGTCACAATTTTGAGACACATTGATCTGTGTCTGGTCTTAGTTTGGAACATGTATCCTTGACCCACCTCTAAGGGAATCTAAGCATACAAACTCAAAGACCCACAACTCAGACCTCCTATCGACTCCACTTTATGATATAGAACACTAAAATGCGGGGATTCGCCTAGATCTTATACTATGTATATCGATACTATCGATAAAGACCTAAAAGAAAGCTTAACAAAATATTCTATTCCTCGTTAGAATGGATCTCCTAGTAGCCCTAAAGATTATCGTTGCGAGTCAGCCTAGTGAGTGCGGTTCCAGGGCTTTGTCCTGTAATGAAATTGTTAGGACTAGCTACTAGCAAAACGTCCGTTTGCTTGCTTCCAAGAGCTTATCTTCTGTTTACTATGTACGGTCGCCTTAGAAGTCACTTTAAAAGAGAATGTGTTTCAAGCTATGCAGTCGGTTTTCCACTGTGATGCCAACTGAAAGTCTCTCAGAGGACGGATTCGTGGTGCAAAATGGGCAAACCGGGCCATTTATCTTTTACCACGCACTAACTGGGGTTCTCGTAGCTGGGACATCATCTATATTGGCATGAAACATATTTCAAGTTTTCTTGGATAAGCTAACTTCTGGTATCGGCAGCTAGTAATCAAGTCAACTTTTATAACGAGTTCAACGACTATTCGATCCTTACATTTTTTACAATAAATAGGTATAGAACTAGAAATATTGTCGTTGGGATATGTCTCTTTGATTGTCACGCTCATTTTAGTGAGGAGATCGCTATGGAGTGTAACTTCAACTTGACTAAACCATCGCTTACTACACCTGATAAATCTAGAGAACCCCTAAAATGGCTGTGTTAGGATATTAGAGATCACCCATCCCCGTGATCTACTTCCTAGTAAGGCTTACATAGATAGATGCTTCGCTTCTCATATAGAACTTGGAGAAGGACGAGGGATATCCCAGTAGTCAAGTAGGAATATTCCAATGCTTCCTGAATCAGATATGGTATTCCTATACAATTATCAAGCATATCATCCTCTAAGTACGAGTTGTAGATTAATAACCCAGCCTCGCCATTAGGCACCTTATTTGACCAGACCAACCCCCTAAGGGAATATTTTGTGGAGGCTTGTACTCGACAGTTGCGAGAATGGTGCTGGTTCTATCACTAACGCGATGGATTGCCACGAGGGATGGCTCACAATTGCTTTTATATTGGAGATTTTGAGGTCAAGTCACTCTCTATGAGACACGACAAAGAGCCTCTGACCGCAACATAACAAAAAAGATGAAGCTCTTCTTTTCCCTACGCCCGATGAACATGACGTATTAGCTTGATGAAATGGGGGGGGGGGGGTTAGAAAATGAGGGCGCGATGCTTGAGGCCGGTCTGAGTAATCAGAGAGCGTCCAATGAGCATCTACATAGAATCAGTGTTCATACACGTGACTGGTCTGAGCTCATCTCATTAAAGCGGCAGCCCAGATAGGAAAGCCTCACACATACTGCCGTGAATCAATGATGTTATTCGGAGGATCAACGACAATATGCGCATTCTATAAATGCGCAAGAAGTGGTGGTTAAACCCTTTGATTAAAGCTAAGCCTTAGGAAGTGATAAAAGGTAAAATATAATCCACCTTGCCTAGAGGCACGCCTTCCTTGCGCAAGATGCCATAGGCAGTAGTTACATGAAAGAAGATATTAGCCTGCATAATGCACGCGAATGCAATCCCAGACAAGAGTTGTGTATTACCTCCCAGAGGCGTGGGGCTGACGGTCTCGCAATGTTCGAGGATGAAGTCTTTGTCAACCGTGTCGAGGGCCTGGTGCGCCTTGTCGATGCGAGCGTACATTTCCGCAAATGTGTAGACCACGTCCTGACTCGTGTCATCCGTTGGGAATGGTTTGGCTGTCAGCTTAGCCAGAGCGAGCCGTGTTTGCATGGTTGCCGCGAACACTTGGTAGCTAAGTGATTTCATGTCATTGTGGAGTCGACAGGACGGAAGATTGGAAGCGTTGGGCGCCTCCTCGGCTTTGTGAAGAATATGCGAAAGTGCGGTTAAAGCTCGCTTGGTCTGGAGAACAAAGCCCTCGTAAATTGTGTACACCATCTTGGCTATCGGACTTGGGGGAGTGAATATGAAGTTTGTGTGTAGAAATATTTTTCACCTGAGACCTGGGGAGGCAGGTTGGTTATGTAGCGTACGATCGTCCCTAAGAACGTGAGATGCGTAGTGCCTTGGGTAGCACTAACTATGTGATACGTACCACGTAAGCACTAGTGCGTGTAGCATTGATCTAGGTTCACGGGGGGCCTCGATTGAGTCCAGTGATCGAGATCGGGTGCCGTCTCTACGCCAGGCAAGGATGAAACATGAAAAGGATCTATATAGGAACCGAAAATGATACTGATTTCCTGGAGGTCTGTATCCGGTTGGTTGCCCTTGAATCTTGAGTAGTGAATGTGAATACTCTTTTGCCGAAGTACTGAGAGCCCGTAGGTCCGTGCATGTCATAATACCCTCGTATCCCAGGTCTCGGATAAGATTATTTCATAGCCCTCGGACGAGACCGCATGAATGTATTATCCTCCTTCTCTCCTTATTAACAAGGAGAGTGAAGTAAGGCACACGTCTAATGCGTAATACTACATATACTATAATGAGAATCACGGCTCTTATTCATATCCACAAGCGCTGGGATAGCTCTATAAATGTGGTGGACAGATATGTGGTAGCAGCAAATGACAAGTGTACGGCTCGATAATGCGTGCGCAGGGAATAAAGGAACATGCAGAAAAAAATTATATGTGTAAGAGTAAATATGGAATGAGAATGGAAATTAGGACTTCGTAGAATCAGAGCGATCGTCCCGATCTTGGAGCTTCTCAGTCGCCTTCTCGGACTTATTGGCTTCGTTGGTAATGGTAATGGTCTTGGCTCGCACAACCTCGAGGAGCTTGTCGCCAACCTCGCTGGCGCCCTCGATTTTGCTCAGTTTGGTTCGGAAATGCTCGACATCGGCTTGCATTCTGTGTGTTGTTAGTATCAACCATGAGCCGAATTCGAGTACTGAAACTAACCTCTTTTTTCCTGCCTCCGTATGCACGTCGGCCTCCTGGAAGGCCTTCGTCCATTGATCACGGTAGCTGTTGAATACGGGCACCATGATCATGCTAACTGTCATGTCTGGAAGATGCTTGCTCAAGACGCGGTGTAGAGTGCCCGTCTCCTTGGCCAATGTTTCCATGTAAGGATTGACAGCAGGAGCTGCTCCCTTGGAATTCCAGTCGATCTTCTTCATCGCGTTCACGTGGACCGAAGACCGAGAGCTCATAATATCCACCAGCTTCTCGTGGATGCCGCTCTGATGCTCCTGGCATAGTCGTTTGACTTTGTCAAACTCGGCCATTAATGGATTTGTCTGTCCATGCCGACGGACAAATTCCCGTACATACGGGACTAAAGCAATAACAAAGCTCAACGCTTGTGACGACAACGCGAGATGCTTAGTTGTGATGTTCTTCAGGCCTGCACTACGCGTAGCGCCGGCCCCAAGAATCAACTGCGATGACCGCGAGTTGAACAGTTTCAAGATATCTAGTAGATGCGGCGCAATATCCTGAATCATGCTAGGAATATTTGACATGAGGAACTCGAACTCCTCAATGCTACGCATCATGGCAACAGCGGAGTCAGGTAGAATGTATTTTTGCTCGTCGATGACGGCACTGCGAACCTTGGACTTGTCTGTCCCATTTTCAGCGGCAGTACCAGCAATTTTGCCTTGCTCATTTGTAGGATGGGGAATCCAGATTTTGGAGACCTCAACCCAGGCCTCGATGTCTTTGGTGCTGGCATCGAGGATCCTAGTAAGAATGACGTTTTCGGCATCTCCAAAATCGCGTGCATCCCATCGATCGGCATCCATGACATTGACAATTTGATGGCGCTGACCATCACCGAAACGGGTAATGAAATCGCGGATTTGATTTCCGACAATGGTCTTTAGAGCAGTACCACTGCGTCCCGAGATGGCCTCACATTCATCGGCGAACAAGCGGTTGAGAGTGAAGTACCTGAGGAATTGCTCCTTGGAAAGCTGGGCGGTCTGTTCAGATCGTACCTTCAATACCTTTATTATCTGAGATTGGGCGATGTCAACGGCCTGACCAAGCAGACTAGACATATCCAAAACCTGTAGAATCTCATCCTGGGCCATGTCCGAGGCTGTCGGCCCCATGTGTGGTGATTTTATAGCTTGATCGATACTTTGCGGGATGGGGCTTCGTGGTGGTGACTTGACGCCGGAAGTGGGCGAATTCCCCAAGCCGCTAGCGATATCTAGAAGGACTTTGACTTGGACGCTGAGTCGCCTAAGCGATTCGCTAATCCCGGTGTAGATATTGATCAACATTGTATAAGCATCATCCGAGTCGAGAGCACGCAGATTACGAGCAAGAATTGATGATTTCTCCTGCTGGCTTAGCTGATGACCGCCATGTGTTGATAGCGATACCATAGATTCATTATCATCATCACTAGAACTGGGCAGGTGTTTGCGAATGAGGCCCTTCATTTCTCGTAAAACAGCAGTTTTGAAAGAAGTTGCTGCTGGCATCGTATAGCGGGCACGTGCGAGTCCGTTGAGCTGGGTGTTCAATTGTGATCGCAACTCGCTATTGAAATCCATATAGGCAGGCGATACCGATACTCCAGACCGTTGACCACCTCGCTGCCGTTGAAATGAGTTTCCCCAGCGCTGCAATGTCACATTCGATGGCACTGTTTGAACATGCTGTCGTAAATCTCCCAAAAGGTCATTCAAGAACCGGGTCTCATAGCCCATGCCAATACGTTGACGGAGCTGTGCCAGGTCGTCAGATGCTCCCTCAAGGGCCTTGATACCTCGCAGATCAAGAAGGCGCCTGGGGGCACCCTCCTTGTCTTCTAAAGTGGCGCGATCGGAGAGCTTTTCACCGGCCATCAGCTTTTCGACTTCCTCGAGTCCCTCGGCAGCTTCCTCAATGTCACCCTGCTCTACCAATCCTTCGCACCGAGAGACAGATTCAACCACGTCCCGAAGCTGAGCCACAGCAGCTGCCAACATTCGTACATTTTCTCTTCGCCGTCTCAAATTGACAATTTTGAGACCGCCAAGAGCCATTTCTTTATCGATTTTCTGAAGGTCTCTTCTGAGTACTTGGATCCGGTTGACCGAGTCGGCGGCTTCCGCGTGCAATTCTCGGAGAGATCCTAGGGCAGTGAAGAAGGATTTCGAGGCCGTTGAGATAGACGAAATAAGATGGATCTCCACGGTATCCATATACCATGAAAGCTTTTCTTGTAGAATAGCATTCGTTGCCAGTGCTTTTCTTCCGGTTTGTACTGGCTCCGCAACCAATCCATTGGCCTGTTCATCGTCTTTGGTGGGCGGTCTCGGCGGCCGAACCACATCTGATTTCTCTGATATCACATCGAACGTACGGGGATTTTCCAGATGGAAGTCCTCTTCGAAATAAACGGGAGGTATAGTGGAGAGAGGAGTTACCGCGGGGGCACGTCCACGGCCAGTGGAGGGGCGTCGGCCGCGAGTATCATAAGGCGAAGATGATCTTGAAGTAGTCGAGATGACTGAAGACCTCCGCTCGAGAGACCATGGCATTAATGAATCGCGATCAGAATCTGGCCTGGGAGATTTAGCAGCCTGCGCCGGTAGTGTATCCTCTCCCGCGCCTTCTTTCGGTCGTTGAAATACATCGTACAAAGTGCCCACTTGCGATAGATATGGCTGGAAGACCTTTGGATCCACGTGCTTAATATTGGTCAAAGTCACAGGCGGGATATCACGAGAGGATGGAGGCCTGAAGCTGGCGGAGGATGTGGCGCTACCGGTCGTCAGACCGGTGCGGATGATCGGGGGCTGGAGGAGTGTTGAAATGGCTACATGGGCGTTAACACGTCAATCATCGAGCAATTGAGGATTCCCAAGGTCACAAACCATTCTGCCCAGACTCTGCGACAGACTCTGAGATTGAGCCATGGTAGTGAGAAGAGTCTAGGACACCTCCTATGCTCACGATCGAGCTCGCGGTTGATCCCCTCCTCAGGGGGAATCGCTGAGGAGCCACACGTGGTGATCCAAGCTGACTTGTTGAATAAGAAATCGAAGGCGACGAGACCCCAGAAGCCAAGCTATCAATTGATTTTCGTGGACTGGTTGACGACATGGCTGTCACAGCCGGATCGGACAGCCGATCGTTGAGATGTTCTGTGTTATCTGATCATGACAGTGGATAAACTCCTGACTATAGAGCGCTGGCAGGCTCAGGTACAGGGTTCAATATTGATCGAGTCAGCTTCTGCGATTCGCGATTTTGGTGCAAGATCACTTGGGTCCTGTGTGCAGAATGACTGATGTGGCTTTGTTTCCATCAAGCTGGTAATCTCCCCAATCGGCCAATGCGCTAACGCCGGGCCCGCGGTTCCCCGTGCTGACTCAGACAGTACATGCCTCAGGCACCAGCTGACTCAGAAACCACTTAACGCGTGAACCCTCGACGCGTCGCGTTGGTTCCACACTAACCAAAAGTTCTTGAAGCCTCCCTTCCGCCAAATCATCAACCCCCAACTTGCAATATTTGCGGTCCTCTACACTATGGATAGACGCACCCCCTATACTTTGAGCGTCCTTGCGCCCAGCACAAATGGTGCCGATGAAGATCGCACCACTATTCAAAACCGCCTTCGGGATTTCGTGCTAGAATTTCAACTGGATAATGCATTCGTCTACCGGTACGCATCCCACTTCCTTGAGATTCCAATGTAGGCTAATTTATTATTCAACAGTGACCAATTACGGCAAAATGCACTTGTGAAACAATTTTACTGTGATATTGATATTGCCCATCTGATTTCCTACAACGAAGAATTGGCCCACAAACTCACCACCGAGCCCGGCGATATCATTCCTCTTGTAAGTTTCTTATCCCGCCAATCTTGGCCCTCGCTGACTCGAAGTAGTTCGAGCTGGCTCTGAAGCAATGTACTGCACGGATTGTCTACCCTGGGCAGCGAGATATCATACTACCCTCCCACCAACTGCTCTTACACTCCTCGGCATCGCACATCTCAATCCGTGATCTCAATGCCACCAACATCTCCCACCTCGTTCGCATCCCCGGAATCGTCATTGGAGCTTCAACAGTATCTTCCAAATCAACAATCATTCACGTTCGTTGCAAAGGCTGCGACTACAGCGAGAACATCCAGGTCGATGGTGGCTTCTCTGGCCTCACGCTGCCGCGCCGCTGCGGTCGACCCAGGGACGACAACGATCAACCCAACGAGCAATGTCCCTTGGACCCTTACGTCGTTCAACACGAAAAATGTCAATTCGTGGACCAGCAAGTCCTCAAGCTTCAAGAAGCCCCCGACCAGGTGCCAGTGGGTGAGATGCCGCGACACGTTCTTATTTCGGCCGATCGCTACCTTGCCAACCGAGTGGTTCCTGGCTCCCGTTGCACAGTAATGGGTATCTTCTCTATCTACCAAGCGAAGGGTGTTAAGAAGGAGGCTGCAGTGGCGATCCGCAACCCCTATCTCCGCGCAGTGGGAATTACCTCGGACTTCGACCAGACAGCAAAGGGAAACTCAGTCTTCTCTGAAGAAGAAGAACAAGAATTTTTGGAACTCAGCCGGAGACCTGACTTGTACGATGCACTTGCTCGAAGCATTGCCCCGTCTATCTATGGAAACGTGGATATGAAGAAGGCCATCGTGTGTCTGCTCATGGGTGGCTCAAAGAAGATTCTTCCTGATGGAATGAAGCTTCGCGGTGATATTAACGTGCTTATGCTGGGTGATCCAGGTACTGCCAAGTCTCAGCTTTTGAAGTTCGTTGAAAAGGCTGCTCCTATCGCCATCTATACCTCTGGAAAAGGTTCATCTGCCGCCGGTTTGACAGCCTCCGTGCAGCGAGATCATAACACTCGCGAGTTTTACCTTGAAGGTGGTGCTATGGTGCTTGCTGATGGTGGTGTTGTGTGTATTGATGAGTTTGATAAGATGCGTGACGAAGACCGAGTCGCCATTCACGAAGCTATGGAACAACAGACCATCTCTATCGCCAAGGCCGGAATTACCACAATCCTTAACTCGAGAACGTCCGTACTAGCCGCTGCTAACCCTGTCTTCGGTCGATATGATGATCTCAAAACCCCTGGCGAGAACATCGATTTCCAAACCACAATCTTGTCCCGTTTCGATATGATTTTCATCGTCCGCGACGAACACGAGCGTGGCCGGGACGAGAAGATTGCTCGCCACGTCATGGGTGTGCACATGGGTGGTCGTGGTCTAGAGGAGCAGGTGGAAGCCGAGGTTCCCGTCGAGCAGATGAAGCGCTACATCAGCTACTGTCGCAGGCAAGTTGACACTCATTACTGATTCCAACTGCTATATTCATACTAACATCCTGTCCAGTCGTTGTGCGCCCCGTCTCTCCCCGGAAGCAGCTGAAAAGCTCTCGTCCCACTTCGTCTCTATCCGAAAGCAAGTCCACCGCGCTGAGATTGAATCCAACACTCGATCATCGATCCCCATCACCATCCGTCAACTTGAGGCCATTGTGCGTATTTCCGAGTCCCTGGCCAAACTTTCTCTCTCTCCTATCGCCACGGAAGCCCACGTGGACGAGGCTATCCGTCTGTTCCTGGCATCCACTATGGACGCCATTACCCAGGGTGAGGGCCAAGGTAGCAAGGAACTCATGGAGCAGAGCAGCAAGATTGAAGACGAGCTGAAGCGTCGCCTCCCCATTGGTTGGAGCACAAGCTTGGCTACCTTGCGCCGTGACTTTGTTGATGGCAAGAACTATACCGAACAGGCACTTAATCGTGCACTGGTGGTCTTGCAGCGACGTGACACCATCCAGATCCGTTCTGGTGGATCTCAAATCTACCGTAACGGAGTTTAATCTGTGACTTATTATGATTCTAATGTGTTCTGTTGATACACCTGATATGTGTTATGGGATGGGTTGTCGATTCTGCGCATCTGTCGATCTTGTAAGGCATGGGAGCTTGCCAGTGGTGTTGGGCGTGTTTTATATTGGGATTTGACGGGATTCTCAAGAACAATTGCATATTTATTTCTAATTCTTCCAAGAATACTGTATAAAACGTGGTATCTTCCCTATCGTGTGTCTTAGCTTCCCTTTTAGACAAAACCCGTCACTAACGCCAGTTCCCTCATCGCCTTGAACCACTGGGAACGAATGAACATCGTATGAAGCATTGTTCTCGATATATGCACAGGACCAAGGAGAGTACTTTTGTGATTATCATGTCACTTGGCATCGGTACGGTTTCCCCTTTCAATCACCAACAACAATTCATTGAATTCAAAAAATCACTACACATATCTGCAGTTTTCCCCAATTATCTCTTCATCCAGTCTTTCTAAATGAGTGCATGTAAGCCCTACGACGATTATGCCTGGGCAATAAGCTCCCAGATCTGGGGCGACTGGCCAAAACTTCTTCGCACTGATGGGGACTTCTACAATGACATTGGAGCCATTATTTGTGAAGAATTTAGCGATCTTAAATGTGCCCTGTTCGATTTCCTCAACACAGGCGGTTTCAGTACCTGCTTCAAGATGGATTCACCAATGATTCCGGCGCTATCATGTTTCCTAAAGAAAAAGTCCGGAATGAAGTCTCCATCATGCAATTTCTCTCAGAAAAAACTTCAGACAAGATCCCAATCGCGGTGCCTTCTATCTTTCGCTAGAAAAGGACAAAAGAGAGTCCCTTAGAACTGGGTCCTTTTATCATCATGAACTATATCCCCCACGAGGGAAGTATGGGTGATCTTCTTGAGACGCCAGGACGCCAACCAGGACAACGTCCAGTACTTAATCCGGAGCTCAATCCGATGAGACTATAAGCGCTATATGGAAAACTAGCCAACATCATTCTCTCGCTGTCTACACTTTCTTTTGGCCGGATAGGATCCCTTTACAAGAATGCCGATTCTACGTGGGAAGTGTTACATCGGCCTCTGTCTTACTCTATGAACGAAATTGTGCAATTGGGGACGTTATCCCGATCGAAGCTACCGATCACCACGTACGATAAGGCGTCATCGTACTTTGAAGCCCTCGCTGAGCTCCACATTTCACACCTCAGAAGCCAAAGGAACGAAGCGGATATCGAAGAGGACGTCACGACGGATATCTTGGCGGATGAATTTCGGCGCAAATTCGTGGCTAGGTTTCTCTTCCGCAAAATTGCTCGAGATCAGGAGCAGAAACAGCAATGGATATTACATGATGATGGCCCATTTCCTGTTTGGTATGACGACTTTCGACCAGAAAATGTTCTAGTTGATGAAGCGGAAAGCATCGTCGGAGTGGTGGATTGGGAGTTTACATATACCGCCCCAGCCGAATTTACTCATGCGCCACCCTGGTGGCTTCTTCTCAAAAAGCCAGAAGATTGGCTTAAAGGCCTTGATGAGTGGTCCATGGAATATGAGAAACCGCTTCAGATCTTTCTTGAGGCAATGCGGAAAGCCGAAGACGAGGCAATCCAAAACAAATGACTACTAGAAGGCCAGCGGCTATCTAGTCGGATGCGTGACAATTGGCAGAGCGGAGACTTTTGGATCATGTACGCCGCAAGGAATAATTTTGCTTTGGACACGATATATTGGCAAAAGATCGATCAGCGATTCTTCGGAAGCACATGTGAATACGAGAATATCTGCGATGTATGGCGGAAGAGACTCCATCTCTTAGAACCAGAAGAGATAGAGCTCATGGAAGAATATGTGGATCTGAAGGTCAAAGAGAGGGACATAACTTTCGCTTGGGACCCGGATGAGTACACCGTGGAATGGATCAAGAAGATGAGGGCGATGAGAAAGACGAAGGATATGAAGCAGAATATGGAGAGAGTGGTGAAGAAGTGGGAGGAGGAGCTAGATAGAATGGCAAAGATGGAGAGCAAGGGGGAGATAAAGAGGATGGAGATGGGGTGGAAGGAGGTGATAAAAGACATGAAGGAGATGAAGAGGAGGACGGCCGCGGAGTGGGAGGAGGAGATAGAGAGGATGATGAAGATGGAGAAGAAGGAGGAAATCGAATAGCTTCTTTAGACCTGTCGGAAACCTCCTTCACATCCTCTTCTTCTTCTTCCATGTAGTGAATTTAGTTCCCTTAAAAATCATATTTACTTCCAGGTGAATGCAGGAAAGAGATTAGAATAATGCTATGGTGAAGCGAGGTGATTTATGTCCGGACTGCATTCATTCCAAAGTTACTATCCGATCTAGACGTGCTGCTTGTCTGTATTCGAGAGGGACCGAGGTCTTAGTAGGATATCATATAGGGTAGATGGACATACACATACCAATAGCGTAGGAACAGTCCTAAATAGTTGCCAGCTATTTGAGCCTTAATGCCATCTGTGTGATAACTCCGCCTTCTCGTCCCGTCAACATATCGATTCCATTTCTTGACTAGACCGCGCTAGCCTAGAACCTGGCCACTCTTCATAGGGTAAGAATCGAAATCAAATGGAGCGAGCTCCATCGGCCCTTCGAGAGCTATGCAATCTGATCTGATGAAGCGGATACAATGAATGGACGTGGTGTAGCCACGTCGGTAAGTCTGTTTCGGCACTCGAACTACAACCAGTGGGACAAATGCTAATTCAATCCACAATATGGAGTATGTTTCACACTGATATTGCCTACAAACCTGATGAATACTTATATAGAAGCTCATTCATACCCGAGACAGAAGGTCCACATGTATATCCAACTCGAAGGATCTCAACGGACTTGGAGAGTCATCAACTCATTTGGACCGCTGCAGCTACTTCAAACATCAATGCCATTACCACTGCTGATTTGGTACAATGTCTTATCGAACGGAAGTTTGAGCTGTTTAACATCGACGGTAGCCCAGCCGAACGGCTTGACTATTGGATCTCGATCAGGGCCGGAACCAAAACCTCGAGGGCCTGGTTGCTAATCGCTTCACCCACAACATACCTATAATACCTTACCTCCTCTTTTTGACCAACCTCATCGACACCAAGAATAACTTCTGCGTCAAGCCAGGTTACTCTGGATGCGATTTGCCGAACTGTCCAACATGCCGCGCACGTGATGTTGGAATGACTAATATTCGGTAAAAGGGGTTTCAACCAAATGTTAGGCATTTCAGCAGCCGATTTACCCCTCAACTAGCGAGTGTATTCCGTATGTACGGAATAGCACGGTGAACCTCTATTTTTTGGCTTTTCTCTCCCGGAATAGGAGACAAAAATTTGGGATGATGCGTTGTCAATCTTGACATGATCCACCTCAGCCCCTCCAAACCCTCCAAACCCTCCCAACTCACAGGGCTAGCCTTATCCAGCCACAGGTCCCCTATACGCCACTTGTGAATAACCCCTTCGCAATGTCGACTGCCAAGAACTGACAACATGAGGCTGCATCCCCAAATTGACTTGGCTCTGTTCAGCTCCACATTGTCCCTATTAGGCACCAGCGTTTCTCCTCGGTCTATTCGACCTTCATTGGCCATGTGTGGCCCACGTACTGTGGCTGTCATTAAGGCTGTCACGGGATCTTGCATCCTTGGCGCGCATGCACAGTGCAACATCAGGACATGTCGCTCGATCCTGTGGCTGGGGACCGTCGGAGGTGTCGCCATGCGCCACGATAACTGCACATCAAGCTGATTTGCTCTGTCCTCTTTTGAACCGGAGACCCCGCCAAGATGACAGCTTGGAATGTTTACAGTGCTGATCCACCCACTGACGTGGACGGGCGGTGTAGATGGTCCCGTTCTGTCCTATCCACAGCTGTCCACCCTGGAAACACTAACTCGCTAGGTTTCTTTGTCCTAAAAAGCCTCCCCGCTTACTCCGTATACGGAGTACAATCTCCCCGCTTTGCCAATGCCGGTCGTCCCAATGAATGCTCCACTCGGGCCAGCTGCCATGGCGCAATTGAGGCAGTGCGACGAATGAGTCCAGGACAAGTGTCGGACAGGAACTGGGGGCTGCTGCATGATTCCTTGTGTAAGCCCGTATCGCAATTCGGGGTGTATTGACCTCGCCGTATGGGGTATATAAGGACAGTCCCCTTCCCTGACCACTTCTGCCATCCAGAAGCTTATGATACATAGTCTCTTACACTCTACTTTACATTATTCTCTCCCAAATCGACACTATGAGCTTCCACGAATCTGCTTCCCACATCGAGCTTGTGGATGGCCATATCCTCAGGGCTCTTCTTCGCACTGAGAATGGTGATGAGGAGGAGTCCACTATCGATCTCGATCACCACATTGGAAACGACAATGGTATGTTGCTCTGTCTTTGTCTTGCAGTGCCCCTCTACACGACCATAGCACCAGTTAGTCTGACTCGTTTATTTAGGACACTTCCACTGGGATGGCGGTGACTTCCACGCCAGTGCCGAAAATGTCAGATTCGACCGCGAAGGAGAATATGGCGTCCCTGTCCTCCGGGCTGTATTGCGCGACGTCGATGGCGAGGGACACGATGCGGATATCAACCTGTCCGAGCGCATTGGGAATGATAATGGACGCTTGGTCTTCAACTAGTGGGCTTAGACAGCTCTGAGCTCTAGGGACTAGCCTCATCATTATTGCTATTGTCTGGTACAATTAGATACAATATACATGGCAGATCTCTAATAACTTCCTACTGTTGTTGCTGGTATCACGATTTACGTTAAATTTTTTGCTTTATTCCATTATGTCTCTTCACATACAATCTCTATCATATATATCAACGATCTAGTCTAATAATTTGGTTCATTTACTTATGTGGTTAGTTGGAGCCGATCAATGTCTTTTGAGTCGTTTTTTTCGAATGACTTTTACATGGTTTGTCCAATATCCATAAAAAGGAAATTGTTATGTTTCTAAGTTTCTTTCTTTATTTCAGATATTTTCCTCCATATCGCAATTCACTCGCTCCTTCCCTTTTGTCCACCTTCCTTCACTGCCTCATATGCTCATCTTCCTCTCCCATTACGTGTCTGATGAAAATGCCATTTTCAACATTTGTCCCCTGCTTGGTGATTGACTTGCGATTCTAACTTTAGCTCCTGACTCTTCTTTATCGCACCATCGTCCATAACCCATCAAGTGAGGCAAATATTCCCTAGATTATTGAAGCCTCGTCTTGCCTCCCCTGGAATCGTAGCGCTATCTCGCCATCCTCAATCCAGCCAGCCCATCAATATACAAGGTCAACAGATAGGGGACCAGCTCTGTGATTGGAAGGCGAAGATATAGACATTACCAGGATGTTCGAACTAAGCCGACATCCCCCCTCAATGTGGTTGTGAAAGCTAAAAGGCTAGGACTATACTCCAGTCGGCCTGCCATGTCCGCAGCCATATAGGTAAGTACCTGATGGTATAATTGTTATGGTGTAGTAGCAAGCTAACCCGTTAAAAGGCTCAGCGAGGATGACAGTACTGTCTATGGACTTCCGGAAGACGCTCGGGATCCTTTAGGTTCCCAAATGTCACCACCCACATTCACATAACTGTGTCCAGATGAGCTTATTGAACCTCGTTCTTACATGTTGGTCTCCCTTTTCTAGACTCCTACACAGAAGCTGCTCAGACCGAGATGAAGAGAAAAGACTTGGCGGCCAAGTTCAAGCACAGCAATAAGATAAACCTTGTCGACTACAGTTGGCAATATTATTATTATTGTTGAGACAGGCGTGTCAGATTCGCTAAGTTGACTACGGCAAGATGCAGAAAAGTGATTTGCAGACTATTGCTGCCATGCTAGGATTGCCATAATATTGATTATGAAGGGCCTACGTACACGAAGGACCTAGCAGTTATGGACGCTAGTGCTGGCATGAAAGTCATCGGAGAGGCAAATACACCGTGGTCCCAGGATGGGATCACTTCCAGAGGCTAACAATGGGAGTGATGCTTTTTGAGGCTGAACATGAGGGCAGAATTGGCTGGATCCTGGGTGTTGGCCAGGTCATTCGCGTTGGGAAATTGCAATGAAGTCTATCCATTCTAAATACCAAGAACCAACCCGGTGCCGTGCACGAAATTGTACTCCACAATAAGAGTATCCCCGGAAATATACGAAAAAATCTTGGCTAGTGACGTTCATCGGTGCGTAAGGCCGTTGCATGTAAAATGCCGAGCTAGCTCGGATGTGGGTGGACTACCTCCACCATACAATGCTCACCACCGAGTCAATAGAAATACGGCTTTCGAATAAATGTTGAAATAATTCGTTGAAATCTAACCGTAATTTGACAATTGGAATGCTGAATCCAATCACTGGAAAGCGGAAGAGGCTGTTTCCCGTGATGCAGACAAATGGGAAACCACTCGCTAACGTATAAGCATTGCCGTCTGCCAATAAGAGATAGTGAATGAAGGAGATTCATAAACTCGTAAAAAAATGGGGTCTCTCTGCTAGCCATATAGGGCGTTGTTATGGAGTTGAGAATTAAGGTTTAACTGTAATCAAATAAAGCTATTGCAAGGGTCAGTGTCAAAATAAGGTCCATAAAGTATGTCGGTAGAGTGCAGATCCACGTGCGTACCGCATTTGTGGGTCCACGGTACGGAAGTAAACCTTCGAAGGGACCGCTTGGAATACCGTCTTAATTACATCATATCTTTCATCCTTCATCTTTTATCCTTCATCCATCATCCGTTGCAAAATCAATGTCTATTGTATGTTTCCCCTCCCTTCATCACTTTCGACCTAGGCACTTAATATGGAGGACATTGGGTTTTTCGACGACTTCTCTGGCACTGTGGTCACCTTTCCGGCGAATCAAAACACCCCTTGGACCCAAACATGGGTCATCGAAGAACAACTATCAGAGCGTTTTCACCGTGTTGACGAAGTGGATGTGGCCCGCAAACTCGGGCCATCGTGAGCTACGATAGAGTTCGAATGCTACCGCGAGAATGACCTCAAGAAAGGCGTAATGCGTATCTACCTTCAAGTCCCAAACTTGAAAACGGAGTTCCGAACCCCTCATCGCCGCGCAGAACAGGCGATTGCATCACCAACGCATTTAGAGATTGAGTCACTCAAAAAACTTCAGCTTATGGGCTCTACCGTAGCACCGAAACTCCTCGCCGTGCACCAAGATAAACAAAGTGACACCGGTTCTGTGCCAGGGGGGTATATCAATTACCTTGTGTAGGAGAAGGTTCCCGGGGAGAGCTTCGACATCAACTGGTTCTGGGGGCTCTCAGATAAGTCGCGTGCTGATATTCGTTTGAAGTTCAAGGCGCTCTATAGGTAAATATCCATACTTCCACACTGATGAAACATTTAGCTAACCCATGACGGAAGTGAGATTCTAGCGTTTCGCATTCAGATTTTCCCCCCAGTGCCATCGAAAATCATCTATGACTTTGAGACTGGTACCATGTATTTTTACCTTTTCATATTTGTCTATGTTATATGATTTATACTTAGCAACACATTCTAACCTGATTCTATTTAGGCACCTTGGGGTCTTGTAATGGCCACAGAGAAGGAAGATCCGCTGCAATGGGATGACATATTATATGACCAGTTTCATCTGTTAAATGCTCCCAATCTGAAAAGTTACCAGGGAGGTCCTGACTGGGTCTGGTAGAGGAGGATGTTTCATTGCCGTGACTACTGAGCCATCAATCTAAGTGATGTGATCATAAACAAAGAAAACATATTTCTATTGACTTCTTTTCTGCCGACTACTAGTAGTAATACGATTTCCTATATAGTCACAACCCAGTCATCATCAGGGTGTCGTTGATAGGTTCGTCAGGTCCTGACCCAGGCGCACAATATGCCATGTGAAAAAAGCATTGTTTGACACTAACAATGGTGCCTGGGTTGAATTCTGTCTTGGCCTCCTTGATTTCCGAATATTCAGCCATCCATACACCATCGACCAGTCGTTGACGCAAAAAGATTGTCTGCCAGTAATTGGTCATGAAGCCGTACTTGCAACTGAGGTCGTGCATGTGCATCAAAGGTTGTGCCAGTAAATACCCGAGGCGGTTGCCGGTGGCGTCGGAGAGGTAGGGCCTGAAGTCATGAGTAGGTACCCATGGTACCTTTAGCTCCCCCACCATCCTCACAGTTGTTTGATTGTCCAAGGCAATGACATTAGGGGTATGCCTATACATAGTTCCAGCACATTGAAAATCAGCGAAAGTCATTTCAATGCCTTGAGCCTGAAGCACTGCCTCCAACGGCATGTCCAATTGATTGGAAAAACCGGCCTCGAACTCCATCTTCATTTCCAGTGAGTACAATTTCTGGGACTGGATCTGTGATGCCCTTCCGGGTGTAGCCCATAGCCGCAGAACTCCATTGTTGAGTAGAATATGTGGCCACAACATCCGTTTCGAAGTTATCCCGTTCCTGTATGCTACCAACAAACCTGAGGCTGTGGATGGTGTTTGTTATGCTGGCAAATGGGCTTTGTGAAGCGGCGGGAGAGGTCCGAGAAGGAGGTGTCTGGCCTCAACTTTGCGAGCCATATTCAGCAAACCTGTAATAATCAGCTGCAATCAGTTGAATCAGGGTGGGGATTAGACTCACAGTCTAGTGTTCCGTGGATAGCAAAGCCCACCGAGTGTCATGCAGCTGAGGTACAAGGGTGCCTTATAACAAAGCTTGATGAGGCGGTAATAGGAGAGCACAGAAAGTAAAATGGTACCAGAGGTCCCCAGTGATAAAGTAGATGTGGAGTGTGTCCCGAATATCGCGGCTGATGATCAGGCTTATTTCGAACCATGAATGTATGATGACTTTCGCTGATTTTCAATGTGCTGGAATTATGTATTGTACCAGTTACTTATTGCCCGTAGAGAATTATTAAGACGTACACGTCGAAACTTGGCCTTCTGCCAGGCCAGGCTCAGGGAAGGTATTCAATTATTGAAAGGACCATGGCCTTATCCGGCTATAGTGCCTAGGGCTTCGACATAATAGGGTGGAAACTGGCAAGCGGGCGGGTTGGTGGAATCCCATCTCCTGTTCCGTTAGCGTGGGATCTAGAGATTCATGATGAGGAACACTATTTGGTAGGTTCAGCCGTAGCCTGAGTGGGAGGTTCCATAAGAGCTTCAGTAGCGGCTCGTACCAGGTCTGGAAGTATTCTCGGTAGCTCCAATGTCAGGCTGGTCAGGAAGTTCGATGACAAGCTCATTGGGAGATTCAAAGAGTGCTCATACCCAAACGGGGACTCCAAGATATATCATGTTACTTGACAACCATCTCAATTTTATTTCAATAAGCGTAGTAAATTTGATGAAAGTGGGAGTAAATAAAGACCATATAGCTTTAGCCAGGTGTCTGTTAAGTTTAACCAAAAGGTAAGATTTTCCAATGAAGACCCCTTATAGGTTAGTGGTTAATTCGTTGGAATTAGCTGCTACGAGCTATGGTTGATCATGTCGTGATTGGGAGGTCAGTTGGATGGGTTAAATGCCTTGGTTCGATCCTAGGAGTAGTGAACTTGTCTAGGGGTGATTCATTTTTTTTTCGCTCCTTACATCTATCTTATAATATTCCACCAGTAAGCGTTGAAATTTTGATTACTACCACTCTCAAGACAGCTCTTCAAAAAGTCTCCTATATTAGTCGAATGCCCTGATGCTATGATAGATTGCTGTCATATGCTATAGATTGTTTGCTAGATAGCTAAGCGGGAAGGGTTGAGGTTTACACCGTTTGCGAAGGGTCAGCTATATCAACCGGCTGCTTCTCACTTCCCACTTGCATCTTCTTTCTTTCCTCATCTTCGTTATTGAGTTAATGTACTCTTTTTGCTTTATGATCGATCTGGCGCCTCACAGTAAGTACATATCTCAATGACCCCTTTGGGGCGGACACTGAAGGCTAACCAATAAGTGGCAGCAGTCACTCAAAGCCCCGTCCGAAATTGATACACCCTCGACGAGAATTTCCAGAGTTCCAACAAAATACAACGACGGTTGAAAATTTAAATACATTGATTCGCCGGTAACAACAAAGTTGGTTAGATCCAGCGTGGAACTAGCCAGTGAAGTTCATGGGATTCATCTACCGAGATCCAATGAATATGGCATGTAGCATCTACAGATTTCCAGTGCCCGCAAATGCTTGCACATTAGTTGGAATTGGTGGCTCGATACGAACAAAGTCTGGGGCAGCGACTGTAGTATGCAAGAGAATAAAAAATATTTCAAGCACCACCACACAATGGGTTAAACAAGGAACTTCTTACCCAGATCGTGGAACGATTAAACTTTTCGCTGTTTCCTATGACTTACAGACAGCTTGTGAGGAGATCGACAAGGAACATCCCAATGTTCCAGGAAATGGCCCTATGGATGATGCTCGTTCGGCGACCATGCCAGTGCCACTCAATATACAGTGTCTCACCGCAGGTACCATAGTCCAATTTGATTACATCTCTACGTCCATACCAATACTGCATCTTTCCAGGATGACCCTGGCAATGTCGCCACCGACCTCGGACGTGGAAGAGTCAATCACCGGCCGATAGAGTGGCTAAAAGGCCATGTATGAGCTTTGCATGAGAACGAAGACCTCATGGCCAATCATAGAATATGTGACGGGCATGCCTACACAGCCCGCTCCATACATTCCTGGTCGAGCTCTTTTTTCCCACCTGGCCCATCTATGCTCCCAGTCATAAACGAAATCGCCATCCAACAGGCTATGAGCGAATGTCACGCAAGGCCTCCAAAGTACTAGTTCCCAGCCACACACAATGACGAAGGAGGTGTTCGTCTTTTCTGATAACGCTGATGTGCTTAATCGCACTAGAGGCGATCTTGCATATGAACTGGAGAGCGATGTGGCAATCAATTGGAGATAATTGCTCGGCACTCGGAGAAATTGCATAGGCTGGGTGTTTCTATCGAGCTGCACTTGAGCCCAGGCAATGAAGTCGCCAATAAAATGGCAAAAAAAGCCATGTACGAGCTTTGCATGAGAACGGAGACCTCTTGGCCAACCATAGAATCTGTGACGGGTATGCCTACGCAACCTGTCCCGTTTATTCCTCGTCAAGTCCCTCTCTCTTCTTCGCTTTTTACCCGCAATACAAGTAATAAGCCATCACCAATTATTTGGAACTGGGCAATTAATATGTTGAATAGTAGGAGACAATCCTCCATTTAGATTTGTATGTTGTCAAGATAGACGTGGGTATACATCGTAGATCGGATCCACGGGACTGTGCCTGTCGGCCCCACATATTCCACATCCGATGTGCCCCGCTCGGACGTCACTCCAATTCTTTTTCCACTCCAGGCCTTGTCTCTCTCAATTACCTGACCGAAAACTTCTCAATTGTCGCTCCTCTCCTGCGTTGCGCATCTGAAATTCTGACATCTACAAGGTTTCCATCACCCTCAGTTACTCCCGTCCACCGCTTTTCGCATCTTCCCAGCGCAACCCAAAGACACAACCAGCCTCCGACATACAATCCAAGAACCCCTTCTCCGCCATGGCACCCCTGATCCGAGTCATTGGATCACTCAATGTGGATATGGTCTCAGTCACACCCCGGTTCCCAAACCCAGGCGAGACAATCACTTCCTCATCCTACTTCACCAGCGCGGGCGGCAAGGGTGCAAACCAAGCAGTGGCATGCGGGCGTATGTCCCGATCTAAGCCAACAGGCACCGCCAACTCCACCAGCGATGTCAAAGTTGAAATGATTGGCGCAGTCGGCGCGCTAGATGCCCACTTCTCCGCTCTGCTCAAGCCGACCCTCGAGAGATCCGGAGTCGACCCGTCCCGAGTGAAAGTCATCGAGAACGCATACACGGGTGTGGCGGTGATCATTGTGGACTCGTCAGCTGGCGGGGAGAACCGCATTCTCTTCTCGCCTGGTGCAAATTACGATGGCATGCAGCCTACCCCGGAAGTGCTGGGTATGGCGCTAGCGGCGCCCGTACCCGATGTTATCGTTATGCAGGGCGAGATCCCGGTCGAAACGGTTATTGGGATACTACGCGAGATCGCAGCTTACAAGGCCAAGGCTCGCGCTGCTGGGAAACGCGGCATTGAGTCCGGTCCGGATGTTATGCTTAACCCGGCACCTGCGCCGCCTGGTGGCTTGCCTAAGGATGTATATGCTGCTGTCGACCATTTGATCCTGAACGAGACGGAGGCTGAGCTGATGACTCCCCCTGCGGAACAACTGCTTCGCACGGTTCCGGACGCAGAGGGCTTGGATGGCAAGGAGAAGGTCGCTCGATATTTCCACAAATTGGGTGTCACTTACATACTTATCACGTTCGGCGAGAAGGGCCTTTGGTACAGTTCGGCCGATGCCGGCTCCTCTGGACCTAGTGATGGAGTGAAACGCTTCACTAATGATATTCCAGCCGCCCCTGTCTCTCATGTCTTGAATACTACTGGAGCGGGTGATACATTTGTTGGGGCCTACGCGGTCAGGGTGGCGCGGTGGCGTGAGCAGCGTCGCGCGGATGGCAAGGCTGGGCAGGATCTTGCCGATGACGAGAAGGCATACCGGTATAAGACTGTCATGGACGAAGCGATGCATGTGGCTGCGCGCGCCTCGGCTCGGGCTGTGGAACGTCAGGGTGCCATGGATAGCATTCCTTTTGAGAATGAGGTCTAAGCTAATTGGTACGGGAAGTCTGTGGTAATGTGCATTAATATATCACGAGAGACTACAGACTATGTATATAGACTATTCCGGTCGGTATTTACTGCCCGTAGTAGAATGCCGACGCCATCGTACGTCGATCGAACAAAGGATAGGCTCTTGGTTTTCGCGAGTAATGCACCGAGTAATGCAAGAAGGATCAGTACGCCGAGGAAATAATCCGAGCCCATGAGGGACAGGGGGCGCATGTGCCATCAGACCTTGCGAACCCTGTCCCTGTCCATGTAATATCCCTATTAATAATAACCCTCCATCATTCTACGCCTTGGACAGCCTTCAAGGGCAAATTCCTACTTTGAACCACCTGGATAGCCAGTCCAGAGAACATTCCCCAGCCTTGAGTGCACACCCAGACACCTCCAACCCTCACTCTGAGACGGAACTCCGTAAAATGTTTCACACCGTGGAAATTCACCTCCAACATCCGGCAGCCCCCGATCGGCCTATGCATGCATGATTTCATCCGGTAATCTGAGTCCGAATGGGGGATAGATAACCAATGGAAACAGGATGCGTTGGCAGTTTCATTGGACATTTCATGCAATTTACTATTAGCGGAATTGTAGACTCTAGTTATCACGAATGAGCGGACAATACGCAAGGAAGAGACTTGAACGCGAAGTCGCGCGCGAATGAACGTGCAAGACGTGGAGAACGTGAGGGACGTGAAGGTATTTGGTACTTACGCGGTGTATGCGCTAGTGCCAGGATGACCGAGTACCGGGTACTTCGGCCGCATGACCGACGCGTCCAAGGGATACGCGACTATGCAGTGCTCAGCGGGGGGGAATTGACCTTTTGGTCTTTGCTCCGATGATTTCGGTAATGATTTACGGAGGACTTGTACAGGCAATTATAGGGGAATGAGGAATTCATTGACAATGGCACAGTGATATGAATACCAGTTAGATCATACGAACAGCGCGTAGTGATCTGCATAGTACCATTGTTCCCACACGAGACACGAGACAAGACATCCAAGAATGAAGTCAATTGGATTGTGCTGGGAGCTGGGAATCGGCATAAACGCCACTTTTTCGAATTGGCAGCCTCCACAACGTGAACGCGACGCGCTTTGCCGGCGTATGCAGGCCTTGAAATAGTTCCCTTCGCCCTCCATTTGTGACTCCTCATGTTCTTTATTATTGCTCCTTGCCTCTAACCCTCTGATTCCAAGCTCTTAACGCCCTTAACGTCTGAAACTATTATATCTATCTCATCGCTGCACGTCTTTTACCCCGAACCATCCCTCGTTCTCTCTCTCTCAACGGTGTAGTCGACCATATCCTACCCATTTCATTATCCAACCTATATCCGACCAGTTCCGATCATTGAATCATTCTATTGCTTTTGAATCTCTTGTCTTACCCAATTGCCCTCTTTCTTTTCGGATCGTGCGATCGGCCTGCCTAGTGCCTATTTTAGACCGCCAATCCTCCCCCACTTGGTGCTGACCAAAACAAAACATCCCCCTTCTTCCTTCACCATGGCCACTCTCACTATGACTCCTACTCGTCAGCCTTTGGGCTGTTTGGACATGATGCCGTTGATGCGATCGAAACTAAATCGTCAGAACCAGCAAAATGGTACGTGACGACCCATGTTTTGATGTTCCGAAGACGGCTTAGCTCACAATCCCAACCAGGTGCCATGTCTATGAAGTCAACCCCAATGAAGAGCTCGATCTTCATCGACGCCGATTCCGAGAATATCAATCCAGCAAGCTTCTCCGCCAAACGGAAGCGTACTTCTGAGGACGACGAGGAGAACAGCGCGTCGAAGCCCATCAAAACATCCCGCATGGCTCTTTCCACCCGCATAAACATCTCCCCCCGTCTCTCAACCCCCTCCAAGCTCTCTATTACAACTCCCAAATCAGCTCCTATTCTCAAGCCGGCTGGTCGCTCTCCACCACCCAAGTCGAGCAAGTCCGCCACTCGCCGTTCGCTCATCGCCAAACCCCGCTCAGAGCAATATAGCAAGCGCGGCGTGGCTCGTCCCTTCTCTCTTGCTTCTGTCCTCGCTCAATCCAAAACTTCTAAGCCTACGCCTGCCCCCAAGGCCCCGGCCTCATGGTGCTTCGATATCCACGTCGACACCGAGCAGGAAGAAATGACCAACCTGATGCATCACTCGACCACTGTCCTTGATATCAGCGACGACGAGGGCAAGTCCGACACTTGCCCCCGTGGAAAGGAGAATATTCCTCCTCACGAGCTGGGCATTGAAGTCCCTGTCGCTCGTGAGTCCACTGCCACTATTCCTGCCGTCGCTCGCAAGTCGAAGATGGATGAGCCGCGTGCTGCGCTCGGTGAGCTCGATGCTGCCGAATACTATGCCGAGGGCTGCAATGCTTTGTCGTATACGATCATCTATGATGATGAAGAGCACGCGCCTGAGTTCAAGAAGCCCTCGTTGCCTCTTTCCCGGAGCCAAAAGACCGTTATCACTACCTCCATTGCTTCTGTTTTGGACGTTGTCGCTGCCGAAACCGAGCGCCGAAACCTTCAGGACTCAACTGACAGCACCAAGTCTGCTCTTTAATCTAACTTCTCGTCATTCCTTGCGTCTGCATCTGCATCTCATGGCGCTGTTCTTTGGCCTGGGTTTGGCCCCAATACCTATTTGCTTATTCTTTGGCGTTTGTCTTTCCGGAGCATGGTGTTCGTCGCTTTTTGGACACTGGTGTTCAATCTATCGGGTGTTTTGGTATAGCGCTTGAATTATGTATCTGTTTTGCTTATTATTGCGACCACTCGGGTTGACTTGCTTTATCCTGTCTAATTGATGAGTTACTCTCTGTGTTATGTCTTATTCTTTACGATGTACTCCGCGTCTGCCTATGACCCTAGCAACGATAAAATGATTATTTTGATGACTATCTTGATCACGAAGTACCATTTCCTAGACGTAGCCAATCATCTAGTAATTTAGTAGCGTCTGAGTCAGGGGACATCTCGATATTTTGTGCAGCACGCCGCAATTCCTATACCGATCAGTTTGATTCACTCGACAGTTCCTATCTCATGAACTGTGCCACGAACCTCGCCTTTGGAAAAATTTACGCATTCTACTACACAAATTGAGTATATCGTTGTCGGTTGTCACAGCTATTGCCCCTGAATCAGTCAAAAGACGCTCATAACTATGCAAACAGCTCAACGAGCTAGATCCGATCCGATCGGCTTTTCCTACCTACCATCGGCCTTCTTCTGGCCCTCCAGTGGATTGGCACTGAATACTCTTGTAATAACCCTTGGATCATCGTTCTTTTCGTACTTATTGGTGTTCTCCTGCGCGCCTTTGTAGCTGTTCAGATCTGCCAGAATGAGAAGGCCACACCTCCTTCGCGTATCGTCCGAAATCGACACATCTTGTCGTGAATCTGGTTTGCTATCACGCTTAATGGTGCTGAATTTGTCTTTATTTACTACCTAGGCTCAGTCCATGGCGGCTCGGTGTTCGCCAAAGCTCAATTCCTAGCTCCCTTTTTGGTTACAGGCAATCAAAACGACCTCGACTACTAAATCAGGTGTAACGAACCTGCCGAGTATCGTTGCAGTCGTTGCCGTGTCTATTCTATCCGGTTTCCTCGTTATCATGCCCGCCTACAATCCAACCACAAACCGTCTTCGGTCACATTAGCGATTTGAGGCCAGCCTACTCAGTACCTTGAAGACAGATTCGGGGAGTGGCGGATGGATTGGCTATCAGATTCTAGTTAGAATCGGTGCCGTTCTTGGATTGCAACAGCCGAGCCTTTTATGTGGGCGTGGGTTTAGCATCGCTTTCCTTCGTTGGAACGATCGCGTTGGAACTTAAGTCTGCCAATAAGCCGAGGAACACTATACCCAATGATGACACTGCAATTTGAGTCTGGATGTGTTTGGGGGATTGAGGTGTATGTATATAGCAGAGCTGAACGATGGCATGACGTCATCTCCGGGTCCCATCGACACCTCGTCTCCGCCTCTAGGTATCTTGTTAGAGCCAAGCAACGAGGCCATCGCTGGGGCAGGCTGGATTGAAGTGTCAGCGAGGCAAGTTGCCTTTTTTCTCCTCTCCTCTTCTTTTTTCTCGCCACAAAACCTTGAGGGCGCATGGATCCTCCTTGGCATAACTTGGGTTTTGACTCAGCTTCCTTAAAGAGTAAAAGGGCAACCTGCATTGGCATTTTCCCAGATCATGTGGAAATAGTACACGAAGAAGTCCCTTGCATAATGTGACCCATCTGATCGGTACATACCAACGTCGTACTCCGTACGTAGCACGAGGCAATGGAAATTATTAAGCTGTGACACATACCAAGCGGGATATTTACCGCCACTGCATGAGACACGTCCTCTACAGACATAGTCCGGGAGGAAAATGGAAGCATGAGCTATTGCCATTGTCGTAGAATATAGGGCCCACACTTTCATTGGGATGATCTTTAGACAACACTCCACATCTCTAACTCACTTCCTTTCTGGACAAACACTCGTATCAGTATACCACAATGACAGTCTCTTCCACTGTCCAGCCTCTCAAGGCCTCTGTGCCAGCGGTTGCACAAATGGCAGATATGCCTCATCGTACACTCAGCAAGTCGATGACCTTTGCCAATCTAGACCAATACCAATATTGGCATGCCGTCGGTCCTATGCTGGGGAGGATGCTTTCCAACGGCAACTACAGCATCCATCAGCAGTATGAATATCTGTGTCTCTTCGCACATATCATAATCCCAAAGCTGGGACCATTCCCAGGCGGGAGAGACATATACAAATGTCTGCTCGGAGGCACCGGCTCCGTGGAGCTCAGTCAGAATGTCCAGAAATCAGGCTTGACTGCACGCATTGCTTTCGAGCCCACAAGCTACATTGCTAGCACCGGAGTCGACCCGCTCAACCGGCACACGGTGCACGCTACCCTGGCCGAATTGAGGGCTATCGGGTCTGCCACCATCGACATGGAGCTGCATCAAATGCTCGTCTCCGAGCTGACGTTGACGGACCGCGAGGAAAGGCTTATGTCCCCGGGACAGATCTCCGGAACTGCGTGGAAGACGCAAATTCTGCTTGCTTTAGATTTGGGACAGTCCGGCGGCATCACGGTCAAGGAGTATTTCTACCCAGCACTCAAAGCCTCCGTGACCGGGCAAAGCGTGGCCAAGTTGTGCTTTTCTGCTATTCGGAAAGTGGACAAGGAGGGAATTTTCGAATCTCCGAGTAAGGTCATCGAGACCTATATGCAAACTCAAACCCAGACAGATCTCTACTTTTTGTCCTGTGATCTAGTCGATCCAGCGCAAACTAGGATTAAGCTTTACCTCATGGAGCTCGACATGAGGCTGGCAAAGGTTGAGGAGCACTGGACAATTGGCGGCAAGCTCAACGACGAAGAGACTTTACTTGGGCTGCAAATGCTGCGAGAGTTGTGGGTGGAGTTTGGGATTATTGAGGGCTTGCGCAATGAGCCGGAGCGGCCATCGCTGCCCGGGGATCCCGACACTATTGTTCCATTCATCATGAACTACGAGATGAATCCCGGCGAGGTATTGCCCAAGCCCAAATTCTACTTCCCCTTGGTTGGCATTTCGGAGCTGAAAATTGCCAACGTGCTCACTGCATTCTTCGAACGCTACGATATGCCTGAGCAGGCCGCAGTCTATCGCGATAATTTGCAGACATACTAGTAAGTTTATTCTGCTGCTACATATCGCAATGCTTCTTGCTAACCTCGTGTTATATCAGCCCCAGCAAGGACTTGGCTGTCGCAACGGATCATCAGGCTTGGCTGTCCTTTTCATACACTAAGAAGAAAGGACCGTACCTGACTATGTACTATCACTAGAGATTTTCATGTTGATAGTCAAGGTACGTTTGAAGCAGACGAACTAGCGCGGCTTAGATTGAGTTGGGATGAAATAAATGCGATGTCTGTTGTGTGTAATTTAGAACATACTAAATACTACCTGGCAGTTGTGGGCTCGATGAAAAGCGTACCCTGCATTTCTGTACCTGCACTTGTCGGAAAGATATTGTGCTTATGCATCGACCATTATGTTCCGATCACACCGTGTAGTGTGTCGATGCCTGTTCGTTCCAGGAATTAGTGAATCTAGCACATGGCACACCTACACCGCTGCATAATGAGGTATTCGAATACTCCCTACAAACTGTCACCAGCCGGCAGTAAAATACAACTGATTCACAAGCAAGGGGGTATTGAAAATTCTGTAGCGCATGGCAGTTTTCAGCTGGGATTGAACTACTAAGCCTATTTAGAAAAAAAAAAAAAAACGCTCAAAACCAAGAATGGCTCGAGAATGGAAACTTGCAGGATAGTGACATGCAATATACAATGTCATCGGAGGTAAGAATGTGAGATGGTATACCAGTTCCAACGTAATTAGACACGTGGATAGCCCGAGATAGACCGAGAGCACTACAGGCAGCCACGGATCGGGCAGGATGCAAGGGGGATTTGCCACGGCCCTTCTGGATGCAATAAAAGAATGACCGCCGAGAATCAGATATTACCTACATCTGATGTTTGCCTCCCGGCAGTGCATTCCATAGACTATCGATTGCCTATCGATCTCCGTCGATCCGGGTTGCGAGTGGGACTGAGAGAAGGCCTACTTCGAGATCACGCGACGATTATATGTCGCTGCATGCAAGTCTCATGGATCAAGTACGGCCTGGTCACGGCTGCTAGATGGTAGTGTGCCGACGAAATTTGGAGAGAGTCAAGCCTTACTCCGTACAAGATACTTGAGCATTCAACTGGTGTTGTGAAATCTGACTTGTCAAAAGCCAGGTGGATACCCCGTTGTTTGAAAATGGACATGAGCAGCGAACAATATTCCCAGTAGGAATGCAGGAGCTTCAATAAAACAAGTTCAAACGATCAATATAATCTCAATCTGGCTTATTAAAGTAGAAAAAACCACATATACTATATCGCTTCCAGGATAATCTCCTGCTCGGCAACCTTGAACCACGCTTCGCCTCGTTTCCGGGCGTCCTCCTCATTCACAGCAGACTTTCCAGCGGACTTTAACTCGTAATTTTCGACGGTGTACGCAACCAGCACCTTGAGGATCGTATCTGCCAAGGCTTGCGCAATACACTGGCGGGGCCCGAAGCCAAAACGCCAAAAGCGATACCGAAAGCTGGCCCTAGATTCCTCCAGGAACCGCCGGGGCCGGAAGGTCATTTTATCGGAGCCCCACGCGTCATCCCAGATATTCAGCGCATTGGTGTCAACCACCATGAAGGTCCCACGAGGAATGCGGTATCCACCCACATCCCGGTCAGTGGGCATCGATTGCGCATAGGTGTAGTTGGTGACTGGCTTCAGCCTCGCAGATTCATTGATACAACTTGCCAGCAGAGTGGTGTTGCTGGCAATGTATTTGACCCAAGACTCTGGAGTTGTGTCGGATCTGGTCTGTGAGATCTCTGCTCTAAGCTCGGTCTGTAATCCGGGATCCTCAGCCAGGAATTGTGGGATCCAAGAGAAGCTGCCAATCGTCACATCGATGTTGGCAAATAGTGCTTCGTCCAATGTATGCATCAGCTCGGTTGGCGTAATCTGACCTTGTTCCACGGCCCTATACAAGCCAACAATAGCACAAGCAGAGGCATCGTCACGGTTCATTGCATATTGATACGCCTTCCGATTGAAGTTAGCCCAGCGAGCGTGGAAGACGTGAAGCTTGTTCCTTATAGCCGGGTAAAATATCTTGCTGATGGAAAAGAGTGACAGACCACCCTTGAAGGCATATTGAAACACATCGGTGCGCAAATCGGTAATGTGCAACAGCTCCTCTGTCATCTCCGGGGACAAGTTTCCATATAAGAGGTCGCTAATGACCCAGAAGGGCAGAAGCTTGAGATCCTCGGCGGGCTTGATTCGCAGCGTTTTCCCGCCTTCATACTGCTTGTATAACTCGGAAAAATGGCGAGAAATACGGGAATGGACAAATGGAACGTATGTCGTGGGCTTCTGGGTAAAGGGTGGTGAAACTACAGCATGGACTCGTTTCCAGTGTCCTTGACTGATCAGACCGACACCATCGCCGACTAGATCTCCCATTACCCATCCACCATTTAGGTTTGAAGCCTTGTGGTGGTTACCAGAGTCTTTAAAGACCGTCTTGATCTCATCCGCGCGGGTCAAAATGCTAGACTTCATTTAGCCTGAGCAGTTCATCTTGAAGAGAGCAAACTTACATTTCTGGCGTGAGTCCAACCCAGATGCGATACACCGGGCCATATTTCTCGGCCCACTGGCGAGAGACATTCTCTCCTTCCAGGAACTTGATACTCCCCCCGCCATCTGGAAATCGGTAGGGACAAGTTGGAATAGGCGTTGAGCCATCTGTTGAATATATTGGATACCACCAGAGTAAAAATTTCTACGTTGGCAGTCAGCAGAGTTCTGTTGATGTACTTTCGGGGTATTACCGACATTGATTATGCAGGACACTACTCGATTTGACCAAGTATTTGGTTGAAAGGAGTGCCACAAAATGACTAGGAGTGATACAACTGCCAGTTGCAGCGTAAGAAGAATGTAACCTGACATCATGTGGAGCTGACGTTGGAAAGAAGGAAAAGTAACAAACGGAGGATATAAATGACGATTTTGAATTCGATTTGTAATCGATAGCATGGGTGTAACTTCCCAAATAGGTACGTGCGGTGATATAGAGGAACTTATTACAGTTCCCACAAGTGCGGCTGACAATCCGAAACGACATCACCGAGTAGCCAGAATCTTACATGTACGAAGTACATGTGGGTCCAACGTTGATGCACAAGGACGAACATGCATGGTCGCCTCGCGTTGATTCCAGCGAGCGCATGGTGTGTTATATGCAAGGGCTAGTGAATTGTTGCAGGTGTAGCCACGCACTAAGAATAATTGGTGGTCAGCCTCAGCGTGGCAACTATAACGACATTCTTTCTGCTGACAGCTCATTCTTGGCTATTTTTGAAGATATATCGGGAGAGGTCATTTGGACCGAAGTGAAAATGTACCATGTACTTGTTACCATAAAAGAACCATCATCTATCGGAGGAAGCTTGATCTCTTAGAATATTGTCCACCATCGCCATGGATTCTTATCATGGTCGTCATAATATTTCCATTCCTTTGGGCAAGGAATTGGAAGTGAAATGCACTGATAATGGTGTACCTCATCTTCTCAAGGCATCATGGGCCTTGTTGCTTGCCAGGCTCTCAGAAACGCAAACGACAACATTTGCAGTATTGGAACAACCGGTGGTCCCTCGGGATGCGTGTTCGAAATTGGTGGCTTCATCTTCACATTTAGAGACATGGGAAATATCAGACAATTCGGATATACTTTTGGTGGATGCAGCGAAGGAAAAGCACAGAGAACCTCTTTCAGGCACACAGACCTCGACGGGTGTGGTCATCAGGTGGCATGATGCACCGAACAGTCCAACCTCGGTAAGAAGGACTCGATACATGTATTCTTCGCAATTTACTAAAAGAGTTCCAGTTGCCGTGTGCATTCAATGCAATGATTGTTTTGGGTTGCAGCAGATCAACCGGTCAAGTATCCTTGGAATACCCAAGAACATCTCTCACAGTGAACCAAGCCTGGTCACAATTGACGGCTACACTTCACATTTTGGAACAAATGGTTATGACCCCAGGGTTATCACTCCGGGAGGTGGATTTCCTGGGCTCATATAGCAGCAGGTTAATCCAGCAATGGAACAACCCGTATACACTCGCACGGCCACAAATATGCATTCATACCTTGATCCTGGAGCATTGTCGGAGCCAACCCGATGCCGAGGCACTGTGTGCTTGGGATGGTTCCATCACGTATGCAGAGCTTGACAAATTTTCACTCGCAGTCGCGCTCCAGCTGCTGTCAATTGGTGTTGGCCCAGAGTCAGTGGTCCCGCTCTACTTCGAAAAATCGAGCTGGACGGCAGTCGCCATTCTGGGAGTGTTGAGAGCGGGAAGCGCTTTTGTTCTCCTCGATCCCTCTCATCCTATGACCCGTCTGGTCGATATTTGCTCGGAGGTGCAGGCAAAAGTTGCCATAGTCTGGGATTCATTGCAGGAGCTGGGTCGACAGCTGGGTCCTCGAGTTATCACTCTCCTCGACACAATAAAAAGCCACGTCGATACAAGGAGAAAACCCTTCAACACACAAGTCAAGCCTTCAAATGCCGCATACATCGCTTTTACTTCCGGCTCCACCGGCAAGCCCAAAGGGATCGTGATTGAACACCAATGCTTCGTTGCAAATACGCTGGCTCAGAACGCAGTCCAGAATATTAATCACCAAACCCGGGCGTTTCAGTTTGCCTCATATGGGTTCGATAGTAGCATTCTTGAAACACTCATGACCCTGGTGGCAGGTGGTTGTGTTTGTATACCCTCCGAGGAGCAGCGGCTCAACGGCCTGGCAGATGCCATCCGTGGGATGCGAGCCAACTGGCTCGAACTGACTCCATCTGTGGCACGATTCATCAACCCCGAAGAGGTACCGCACGTAAAATCTGTCTTGCTTGTCGGAGAGCCGATGTCTCAAGACCATATCAAACAATGGTCAGGGTCGGGGAAGATCCAACTCCTGAACGCATACGGCCCCGCCGAGTGCAGTGTGGTAGCCACTATCCAGCCCCATGTGGAAGTGGAAGATCCTCAAAATATCGGTCGCTCATACAGCAGTCACTGCTGGATCGTGAATCCTCAAGATCATGATCAGCTCGAGCCCCTGGGTGCGGTGGGAGAGTTACTCATCAGCGGACCAATCGTAGCCCGAGGTTATCTCAACCAGCCCCACCAGAAGTCTTTCATCTCCAACCCTCGTTGGGCGACGCGATTCGGCATTCCTCCAGGCGAACGCGTTTATAAGACTGGAGATCTTGTGAGATATAATGTCGACGATGGCGCGCTGCGATATGTGGGGCGCAAAGACCGGGAGGTCAAGATTCACGGGCAACGTGTTGACCTGCAGGAAATTGAGCATCATGCCTCCCAGTTTCAGAAGGGAATACTTGCAGTGGCCGATGTGATCCAAGTCAACGGTAGTAGCGCGGGGAAACTCCTTGCCTTGTTTATTTCCGCTGATAATGATGATACTCGCCCGACGAAGCACAGTTTCGTTGTCCCCATGAATGACACCCTCCTCGATTTGGTGACCGACTTGAAACACTGGCTGCGTGACTGTCTACCACCATACATGATCCCAACCAAGTATATGTTCGTCAATCGCTTTCCTTTAACGAGAACTAGCAAACTTGATCGACGAGCCTTGATCGATCTTGCAGCATCCAGTCACCCGCCGTCAGGAGAGCATCCGTCAAAGCAGCGTGATAGAGAAGATGTCGAGCTGGACCCGGAGCTTTTTGCCAAGGAAAATATCTTGTGCTCCGTATTTGCTGAGGCATTGGGCTGCCCGGAACGGAACATCGGTGCAGAGGACGGTTTCTACGACATGGGAGGGAATTCATTGGCGGCTATCGAGCTAGTAGCCCGTGCACGCAAGCGTGGCCTGGAAATCACGGTGGCGGATGTCATCCGTCTTCAGAGTCCACGAGATATTGCGCGATGTACCGTGGATAGCAAAGGGGTTCATGAGATCTCGCCATTCTCTCTTCTCATAGACCCCGAGCAGAGTCTATCCGCCGCGACAGCCCAGTGTGGCGTGGAGAGAGCAACGATTGAAGACATTTACCCTTGCACCCCTCTGCAGGAAGGTCTCATGCATCTATCCATCATTACCCCGGGAGCTTTCATGGGCACATACCGATTCTCCTTGGCTCCTTCTACGAACCTTCATCGGATCTGGGCTGCATGGGAACAGCTTTGGCTTGTACATCCCATCCTCCGAACACGCATAATTCAACTTCAGGATGGTCAAAAGCTTCAAGTAGTCATCATGCAAAAGCTTCCACGCAAAGACATTTTAGTCGTGGATGATTGCGAGCCGATGAGCTTGGGGACACCCCTTGCACGTTTAACATTTCATCCTGGACGGGCTTGCGGCGGATCTGACTCTGGAATGTTCATTTTGACCATGCACCACGCCCTTTTTGATGGGTGGTCATATTTGCAGCTGCTCGAGGATCTCCAGGTGATTTATAATGGGGACAGATTGCCACCACGCCCTGCCTTCAATCATGTCATTAACTACATCTCTAATTTGAAGATTGAGGAAGGTCACTCTTTTTGGCGTCAACATTTCAACGATTTACAAGCAACAATGTTCCCTATCTCTTCCCGGCGGTCAATCGCGTTGCCACATTGGCAAGTCAAAAGCCAGCAAATTATCCTGGCGAAGTCGGATATGAACTGGACCCTCGCCAATAAAATAAAATTGGCCTGGGCCCTTGTGATCTCTTCCCAAACTCACTCGAATGATGTAGTATACGGATTAACAGTCTCGGGCCGGAATGCCCCAGTACCAGAAATCGATCGTATTGCTGGGCCAACTTTTGCAACATTCCCCTTCCGCACGCAGCTTCATGACCAGATATCGGTGGAAGATATGTTGATCCAAATGCGACATCACGACGTCTCCATCATGCCATTTGAACATATTGGTCTCAGGCGTATCGCGGAGTCAAGCCCAGACGCAGCCCTGGCTTGTGGATTCCAGAATCTTCTCACCGTCAGGTTGCAATCTCTTCAGATTCCTCCGGGCGCCTTGATTGATTTACCCGAGAATGAAGATCATGACCTGAAATTTGCGTCGTATCCCCTGTCAATTGTGGCCCAGCAGGAGGGCAAATTGCTAGAGGTCAAGGCCATCTTTAATACCGACATTCTAGGATCTGACAGGACTGAGTCACTGCTAGAGCAGTTTGATATGTTGTTACAACGAATCCTTCGGGAGCCCGGGACGACAGTGAGCAACCTGAGACGTCAGCTAGCTCCCGAGTGGCAGCAATTAGCGGCGATTAACAGGAAGATCTCGCCCGAACTGCATTGCCTACATGATATTATCCAGGACTTCAGCGTCATCCAACCAAATTCAGAGGCCGTCTGCGCATGGGATGGCTCACTCACATATAAAGAACTAGTCTCGTTGGCGTGGAGATTGGCAGGCCATATCAAGTCTTTCGGGTCCCGGTCGGAACCCGGTGCTGTCATCGGGATCTGTGTGGAAAGATCGAAATGGTTTCCCGTTGCCATCCTGGGCGTCATGATGTCGGGAGCCGCCATGGTTTTGTTAGAACCCAATTTCCCCGTGCCTCGTTTGCAGCATATCTTGCGAGACGCCGGGGCACGGATGATGATATGCTCTCTGGTATTCCAAGAGAAGTGTACGGGCTTGGTCGATGATATGTTGATTCTGACTCCCGATATTGCGACCCGAGCGGACTACGATACTTGGACTTTGCCATCGGTGTCTCATCAAGATCCAATGTATGTTGCTTTTACATCCGGGTCAACCGGTGCCCCGAAGGGTGTTGTGATCGAGCATGGCATGGTATATTCGATGCTCGAGGCACATAAGGACATAATTGGCGCATCAAATGGGTCCCGAGGCTTGCTTTTCGCCTCGCCCGCGTTTGATATATGCCTTGCCGAGATTGTACTTATACTCGGTGCCGGAGGCTGCGTATGTGTGCCTTCTGAAGCTCAACGCATGAACAGCTTGGCGAAAACGATGACAACCATGCAGGTCAACATGGCTATGCTGACTCCTTCTGTGGCACGCACCCTCTCGCCAGCTGCGGTCCCTTGTCTCCAAACTCTGATTCTTGGAGGAGAGCCGCCATCAGCCTCCGATTTGGCGACATGGGCTTCACGGGTCCAGCTGCATCAATCCTATGGGCCAGCCGAGTGCACTATGTACACAACCACTACACCGCCATTGACTCCCAGCTCGGACTTGGGCAACGTCGGATTTTCTCCAAACGCGTCATGTTGGATCGTTGACCCGGAGAACCATGATGAGCTTCAACCGGTTGGCTCCGTGGGAGAACTATTGATCGGTGGGCCGATTGTTGGAAGAGGCTATATCAACCGAACCCAGGAGTCTGCAGCGGCCTTCATTCGTGATCCTGTCTGGAGCGAGAACTTCCCCTTCTTACGAGGAGACCGACTGTACAAGACTGGAGATCTCGCTTCCTTGAATGCAGTCGGGTCCTTAACTTTGGTCGGCCGAAAGGATACACAGGTCAAGCTCAATGGGCAACGGATTGAGGTGCACGAGATTGAGCATTGTGCTGAAAAGTACCAACATGGTACCGCGGTCATTGCGGAATTAATCAACCCTGCCGGCATCCAGAGACCTAGACTTGTCATGTTCCTCTATGATCCTGCGACGGTAGAAACAACGGTGGGCATAAACTCTGCTTGTCTTGAACATCGGGAACTATTGCTCCCACCGTCAACACGAAATCAAGCTTACCTTGAAGGTGTAAGACATCATCTCAATCAATACCTTCCACCGTATATGATACCATCCCTTTTTCTTTCGCTGTCCCGTCTACCGCTTAGCCCAAGCGGCAAGGCCGACCGCAAGACACTACGCCAGATTGTTTCGAAAATGGATAGAGAGACATTGGAGATGTATATGGATAATCCGGTGGCAGAGAAAAGGGAACCAACGACAGAGCAAGAGCGATTCGTCCGTGCAAGTTTTGCCACGGCCCTGTCATTGAATGAGGAGGCTGTTGGCATGGACGATAACTTCTTCGCTCTCGGAGGTGATTCTATTACTGCCATGCGCGTTCTCACTTTGTGTCGGAGAAGGAACATGGCCATCTCGATGCAGGATTTTCTCTCAAAGAACACTGTATCCTTGTTTTGCGCAAATGCCATTGTGATTCAGGCCCAAACTGTTGATTCCAAGCGCCAGAAAGCCCTGAATTCCGAAGACTCCGTTCGAGGGAAAAATTATCTTGTCCAGTTTGAGCATATCGAATACCAGCTGGACATGGTTCGATCTCGGTTGAATTTGTTGAAATCGGATTCCATCGAGGAAATCTACCCCTGCTCTGACGCCCACAGTGGGGTGTTGGAGCTCTATACGTCCAACTACACAAGCACTGCTATTTTCGAAATTTGTTCCACCGAATCAGTGACTGCGATACAGGTGAGCAACGCTTGGAATCAACTAGTGCATCGTCATGTCGCCTTGCGTACAGTTATGATGAAAGAACCAAAGGTTCATGCAGATTACCTTCATGTAGTCCTTGGCAAGGGACCAGCTCAAATTCTTGCTCTTCCTTGCAGCAAGAATGCCCTCACAGAGCTGAAAAATCTCGAACCAGTCCAATTCTGGGGCCTGTCACCACCACACCGGTTAATAATCGGCCAGGACAATTCTGGAGCGGTCTTCATAAGGCTGGAAACGGGCTATGCCTTGATCGACGCCTTTTCTATGACCATTCTACTAGAAGAACTTTCTCTCCTCCTCCAGGGTCAGCCTTTGCCAGAGAATGGAGTCTCGTACCGTCAATATCTGTCCCATTTGCACAGCCAGTCGTCTGCAGGAACGCTGCAATACTGGACACAGACGCTTTATGGAGTATACCCTTCCCACCTACCCAAACTCCCTGCTAAACAGTCCCCTCTGCCTGAACCGCGCTCGCAGAGCCGCTGCCTGTCATTCGCGCAATCAAAGCGTTTAGATTCCTTCTGGCGTTCCAATCATCTCACCATCACCAATGTTTTCCAGCTGGCATGGGCCTTGACTCTCACCCAATACACCAATTCCCGCGATGTGTGCTTCGGAACCATCACCTCGGGGCGTGATACCCCTCACCTTGAAGTATGGAATATTGTTGGGTCATTTTTCAACATTCTTCCGTGTCGAATTGCAATTGATCCCACGCGCACGGTATTGGATACTCTCCGACAGAACCAGGAGAATATTCAGCGTCGAAACGACCATCAGTACTGTTCCATGCCAGATATGATCCGAAAAGCTGGAATAAGGAGCTTAGACAAGGACCAGCAGCTGTTCAATACAGTTTTGACAGTGCAGAACCCATTCTCGACACGATCATCTACTGCAAAGGATGGGAGCAACGAGATCGATATCAAACTCATCGATTTGGACGATGCAACTGAGGTGAGGGCCTTTGGAACTAGGACCACGATCAGACCGACAACTGCTGACTCTTTTAGTATGACCTATGCGTAGCTATTATTCCCTCCCATTCCCACTTCAAGGTCGAACTACGCTACTGGACGACGACTGCATCTGAGGAATATGCTTCGGATATTCTAGATTGCCTTTTCAACCAGCTGGAACAGATTGTGCATCATGCGACCAAGCCATTGAGCGTCATCACCAGTATTGGATGACAACCATATCTCCCACGACTTCCATAATTTCTCACTTTGTTATCTAATTTTCGGCATTGTTCTTTTGATATTTCCACATTTTGGATTCACAGATATTCCCGAGTCCCAGTCTACATTATTCTCTTAGCACAATCAACAAAACAATATAAAGCATGAAATACTGGATAAAGTTGGTTAAGACTTGTCGTCCATGCAAGTCTACGAGTGCTCAAGCATCCGATTCCAAGGCAATGTCATATCCTAGAACTGGTCTAAATAATAGAAGAGAAACAACAAAAAGACAACACATAGACAGCCACCAACATCGTGGTCAATGGATGAAACGCCATTCACACCCTTTTCCATACCCGAACACGGTTCTAAGACTGGTTCCAACTCAAATTTTGAGGGAGCCGGTCGCGGAAGGGAAAATATCGAAAAGAAAAATCCATGTACACAAAAGAAAAGGGGAAAAAATGGGAAAAAGACAAATAAAAGGCAGGGGGCACAGGTTGAGGGCATCGGTCCGGACGAGTACCGCCGAAAATCTCAAACAAAAATATCGTTGCCCCATAGTCGCTATGTCATCGCAGGAGAAAATAAACGGAAATCACATGTCCATCAGCAGTCCATCTCCGAGACATTATTTGGTGGAATTGCTTCGATGCAAGATCTGTACATTGGTTGCACTGGTACCACTGCCGACCGATCGTCGTCGCGGGCGAATCTCACTGCCGCTTCCGCTCCTTCGCCGTCGGCCGGTGCTTCGAATCGAGCCTCGGCGTCGTGTCTGGAGCAAACGGACGTTTTCACGTTAGAATTACGCTGGCTGTACATGGGCGGACGCGGTCTCTTAGCAAAAGACAAGTACGAGGGCGATAGGGCCAGGCAAAAGGGAAGTAGTTCGCATAGGAATGCACGTATCTGGGCAGCAAAGCAGCACGGATCAGAGATGCACTGGACTTACCGAATTAGGGGTGCCTTCCCGGCTGGGCCGATCCTTGGAAATATCGGGATCATCTTGCAACTTTAGGGAGTTCAACCGCTTTTGGCTCTCGTGAGTCATAGCCTCTACCTCATCGATCACCTCCGGCACGTCAAGAGGGGGGGCTGGTGGTGGGGGAATGCCGTTCTTCCGATCTTTGGCCTGTTGCTCAATCACGTCCCACCGTTCCGAACGAATCTTTTCACGTTGGTCTGCGTTGTTCTGGTGCTCCGTGTAATCGTGAGAGCATTCATCGAAAAGTTGCGGGTTGATCTCCATGAACATCTTCATGGCATTGTAAACCATGCTGTGGATTGTTCTGGGAAAAGGGTCAGTTCATATTTAAGCAGCACATGCAGATCAAACTCACCGGTTCCAGTGTCCTTTCGAGTTCTCGTAAAGCGGCGCAAACATAAGCGGGAGAATTGTCTCCACATTGTCGCTCACAAGATTACAGAAATACTCGTTATTCCAGAAGTACAAAGCACGTTCAGCAACCTGGAAATGAGGACTGGCGACAGACTTGGCCAACTGATTGAACAGAGGCTCCTGTACTTTAGCGAACTCGCCCGGATCCATCACCTCGAAGATATCTTCCACCTCATTCAGGTACATAACCTCCTTAGTGCTATTGGTCTTAGGCCAGAAGCGCAGTAGGCCGAGAACAACCTAGACATAGTGGTTAGTACCCGAAGTAGATTGGAGATGATAATTTATGGCTTACATCTTCGGTCAATGAGGAGTCTTTCTCCAAAAATTGCACTATGCAGTAGGCCAATTGCGGGTGGTACATGCTGAGACTCTTCACCTTGTGCATGGGTAGGAGCACTCTAGTCAAGAAGAGCTTGTGTTCCTCCTTTAGCGGTAAAGCGAACCCGTTGATGATGGAGCCCAGAATCTCAAGCAATTCGGCGATTCCGTTATGGCGTTCTGTCTCGTACATGAACTGGAAAAAGACGTTGTTGATGGATCGGCGGATATATGACCGCAAATTCAAGAACTTTCCATAGATGCGATGCAGAGTTGTCTTGAGGAAGTCACGTTCCCGGGGATCTTCCGAGTCAAAGAGGTCCAACAACTAGATGTAGTATTAGCTTGTATTAAACATGGAACCGAACAGCAGGAGACATACCGAAAGCACAAACTGATGGTCGATATAACCCTTGGCGATGTTCGTGTTGAAATCCTGGCTTTCGATGAATCTCAAAAAGAATTCATATACCACCTGGATATGAGGCCAAGCGACTTCCAAGACCGGCTCATCCTCCTCTGGGTCAAATGCCTCACCTTGGGGCGTCATAGGCGGGGGAATAGGACGGAACAGGTTCTTGGCGAACATCTCTACCACGCGGGGGTACATAGGCTCTGTAATGACCGACCGATTGTTGGCAACATAATCTAAGAGTTCGTGCAACGCCAGCCTCTTGATCTCCTTGGACTTCATATCAGCCGTAGGGTCGTTGAAATCGAATATGATATTGCACTGGTCGATCTTTTGCATGAACAAATCTTGGCGCCGGTTGGGAGGCACTTCGTGGAATCCCGGCAACTTCTCCAATTCTCTCTGACGCTGGTCGGAGATGTCGAATCGCGACGAATGTTGGCGTTTGGGGGTCCGGATACCTTCTGAGATGTCCTTAGGAGTTGTCTGTAGGCGATCGAAGACATGGGACTTCCTAGGAGGTGCAAGATCTCCGGGCATTGTTTCGGCGGCACCAGGAGGGGGGACATGCTATGTAACCCAATCCATTAGAAAATTCAAATAGTGAAAGGTGAGCCAACTGGACTTACCGGTGGGCTTGGGCTAATGATGACGTTGGGGGCCGCTGGTTGGCCTTGCCTGTTCGGAGTTCCTGGTCCATTGCTTACAGGCTGTCCGGCAGTGCCCGGTTGGGGTATATAGTGTTGAACCGGGGTGCCGGGGTGAGGTGCGCCCGCAGAAGGGGTTCCGGCTGGGGAGGCATTGTCTGGAGATTTGTTTCGCGAGTCATTGAGAGAGGTTGTAGAGGATGTGGGTGTCCCTTGACTAGGGGAAGTAGGCTGCTGTGCGCTAGAAATTCCGAGGGATTGGTTCTGTGGAGTGGAGTTGGAGTCTTTCTTTTTCGAGGACTTATTGTCTTTCGCCCGCGACAACTGGTCGTGCTAAGAGCAAGGCACAAAATGTTAGCTTATTTGCAAGGTAAATGAGGTAGCACCAGCTGCAAGGTGGAGAAGAGGATAGATTGCCAGAAGTGATAATGCGGTGAGGTGCACTTGGACAGGATACGCGGGTAACTCACGACTCTCTGTCTGAAACCCTTCATTTTGATGATTATGTAGATGGCCACATGTACTCGGCTATGTTTCTTGGTGCCAGTGCAGCCAGGCGGCGCACTCTAGCCGGAATATATCGAAGGAGCCAACTGAAATAGCCGCTCAAGATAGCCACGAGGGGAGGGGGACAAGTGTTTGGATTGACCTAATAGGAGAATCTCATAAGCGGTCCGAGTCACACAGCATGTAAGACGGTTGTTGTGAAGGGAGATAGTTCTGAAATGCTGATATAAAGCCCTGGGAATGCATGGAGGAGAAGCTGGGGTTCAATGGCAACATCATCAGGCGCTCCAAACAATGTGCAGTCGCAGCACGCGCACGGAGCAAGACGATGATAGGAAGAAAGGGCCAATGCAGGCAGTGGGAGACGAGAGTCCGATCAAACGTACCTCTGTAGATCTGAGTTAGACAATTGACGGATCGAGTGGCAAATTTCTCGGCGAGAGCAGTTGTTATAGGACAAGCTTGGTCGGCGCTGGAGGATCTCCGTGTCGCTTAGTGGCAGGCTGGGAGCGGGGGGTTTTGTAGCACCAGAGGACGAGCACTCAGGTCGCAGCCCACTGCGAAAGCACGAAAATCACGGTCTGACTAGCAAGAGACAAAGTGGACGATGTACAAGAGACCAAGTAAAGATGATGTCGTTGGGTTGTGGAGAGGGGAGAGGGAAGTGGATTGTTGTTGAGGTGTAGGGAAAGGCGGGCTGGTTCTCCTGGCTATGATGGTGATGGGGGGGACCACGCCCAAGTACTAGGTGGTGGACTTTACGTTCTGGCTAAGTGGCCTGGATCTATTTGCCCTTCAATTTGAGACAATGAATTTACTCGACAGCTATATTATTTCCCCCTTCTCTTCTCCTAACATCACTTTGGTATGCTTTTTCCCGCTTGTTTCAAATTATGCTTATGTCATGGCTCACGTGACCTATAAAGGGACTCGAATTTCAGGCACAGACAGCAACGTCACCAACACCGGACACCCAGGTAACTGACTGACTACCTATTTACGGAGTAGCTAACTGACTAGTTAGTTAGTCAATTAGTGATTGAGTGTGTTTGACTATTATTTAAGTCTGAAGAAGTCAGACGTAGTTCACATGTGATATATCCTTTCGAGTCAAGCAAAGCAGGTCTGTGCTCTACAACAACAATAGTCTACAACAACAATAGCTGTATGAGGCATAACCTTAGGCTACAGAGGAAATGTCTACTTGAAAGGTCTCGATATTTCCGAAAATCAATATTAGGGCATATCATTAGGTATAGCACTGCTGAATGTTGTCGCGCAAAATAATTCGGAGAAGTGGACATATATATCTTTCTAAAGGACTACATTGGTATTCCTCTCCTTCATATCACCACAACCAACGCGGATAAAAACTTGTCAGCCTACTTGCACTCCTCGCCATACTTCCCGATCTCTGTTTCTTTACCAACTAAACCCTTACTTGAATACTGATTGTTACTTTATCACTGGCTCTTACTTTTCTTCTTCATGCTCAACGGTCTTTGACATTACCTCCAATAGTCCTAGCTTCCACCATGGCGGACTTCATCATGCTTCGGATCGCATGTCAGGATATAGACGCTCTATCTTCGGACAGAGAGACCAAGCCCCTACGCGAGTCATGTCACGAAACCATTTATCTGGATATTCTTTAGTGTCTGCAATGTTTTCGCTTCCAAGTCAGCAACAATTGGAATGATGATAGTTACCCCTTTTATGTTATGTGTCGAATTGAAGCCGGCTCGCCACAAAAGTGTTGCGATTGCAAAGAAGCCGGCTACAAATGTGACTGGAGAAGCTTTGACTCTTGCTAAACCTGTGCTTGAAATAGATGCTTACACCGATTGGGATCTTCTACAGATCCCGCAGGGTATCCGGGGCCATGTCTTTGAACTGATGGCCTTGATCGAATTCGCGAAAAGATACTGGACCGACAACGGTGGTATCGGTGGTGTACCAATGCATGTACGGATCCGGTGTGAAGGTGTCCCTGAGGAACATTTCCCCGCGTTAATTGAGCTCTTTACTGCCTTTGATGACCTAGTCGAGACCCATATAAAGGCTCATATGCTGACAGGCAATGGCTCTAACGTGAGTTTTGTTCAACGTGTTCTACATTCGTGAGGATATTAATCCTTTACGGTGGGCTTCCGTGATTGTATCACCGGGGTTATATTCACGATTTGCTTTTTTTTCCGCCAGCGTCTTCATTGTGAGGTTTCCTGTTAATAGCGTGGTGAGGCGGCTATTGACCAGGACCTATTTGATGTTTTCCTGCCTGGTTCTGTGGTTGTTTCAGTGCCCTTACAAAGCATCTTTTTCCAGCTTTTTGCATCATTTGAAATTATAGACTCTACTAAGCGCAAGTGATCCTCATATTTACTAGGCGAAGACATAAGGTTTACCAAACAAGGTCGACAGGATAGGAGATAGCAACATCGGAGGTCAAAATACACCTCATAACTAACAGCATCTACATTAGTACCGCAAAGTTACGAGCATTATCATCTTTTTCAGCTTCTGGCCAAGTATAATACAACCAATAGTAGAAACAATGAACTAGAGCATTCTGATAATCGGGGGCAGCGTCTTCCTTGCCATTATATACTACGTTGTGCGCGCCCGGCACGTCTACAAGGGTCCTATTGTGGAAGTCTCCTTATAGAGAGCTGTCGCATAGACCTTGAGGGAGAGGCCAATAGTTCATTTTTAGCTTTTCATAACGGGTAATTAAAGTCAAGGTGGTGAACACAAGACATTAGTAACTTTGCACTCCAATTGAGCTATTCTAAAAGACACCAACAACCCTTGCCCGTCGCCTTTGTGTGGAACGGGCGATACGCCTCTAAGTTCAGACTTCGATTCATGGTTTTCAGTACGAAGTGACGCAGGTATCCTTGCTTGAGGCCAATTGGGTAGGTCTACTCTCCAACTTCTTCTATATACAGCGGGATACAATGTTGGACCTGGACTCAATGCACAAGGTCAAACAGGTCAAACAACAAAAAAAGACGCGTTCAGGACGCTGGTAACTGATCAATACAAAGTAACATACAGACTGTTAACCCCTTACGGTGAAGTTAACAAGAGTACCTCAAACCTCACTCAAATAACACCACAGCATGAGTGGAGTCCGACATATGCAAATGGTGGTGCGTTTTCAACTTTTTCAAGTCGTGTTCAATAGTAATCCATCCCCTGGATACCTCTTCCCTTTCCTGGGCCGTGGATTCTCGCATCTCTTCGAGTCCTTGCGAAATTCGACCCATTACAATCATGCATTTTTGATGTCTGCCTAGCGAGTCATTGATCTCTCTGACTATCCCGCTTAAGGGATATCCTGCTAGACCCCATAACCCTGATTAAGATTAGCTTGTAAACAATAAGATCACAGAAACATTGCCTGCATGTTCCACATACCTGCTGTCGGCTTGAGAAACAACCCACCGATTCCTTTTCCGACACCTTTGAGAAGCCCCTTAGCACCTCCGTGCTTAAGACCATGATGCGGCTGTGTTCCTAGGCCCTTAATACCGAAGTAAAATCCATCTCGGAACTCCTGTACATATGTTAGAATATTTGGCCCTAGACTGGCGCTGGTATGGCTGTTACTACCTTTCCTGCCGCCCTGAACCCGCTTCGAAGACTGACCACCTGGGGGGTGTCGGTTACTGTCGTGTCGTGATATAATTTGGGTGCGTTGTGGAAACCTCTGGCCATGCTCAGTGTCAAATCGGTCGGTACCACTATGATTATCTTCAATATTTTCTTGGACATTTGACTTCCGTGTAACGCAGCTTCGTGTAAAATAGTAGATTTAGGTGGATTTGTCGGTGTCATCGAGCTGCTCATTGTCTTGGCCTTTTCGAGCTGGATATTCCTTTTGCGTTCTGTGCTCCGAATTCGATCAATGCTGTTGATATCGGTTTCATTGTCCGCATCGGTAGTATCTTCCTGTGCACTCTCCCCTTCTAGGATTTCACCATCTCGCTGTTCCTCATTCTCAATCTGCAATTGCTCGTTCTCATTTTGAATATGTGTTTCAGTCCCATCATTATTCTCTGGAGATAAATGATCTGGTGAAGAAAGTACTGCCTGACATGCTGCGTGGCGATCAAAATGTTCATGGGGTTGGCGTATTGAGCGAGCAGCAGAAACAATATCATGCACAATCTCTCTGGGCGCATCGACAAGCCCAGTCACGAAGCTCGTAATGACTCCAAAGAGCACCTGAGCACTAGCAGTAAGTGGGTCGGCAGGGTCCAGTAATGTATCATACTCAATTGGACGGTAACTGTAGGCGAATCAGCAAGAAACTCTCACAGCTGTGGTGACTATGTGGAGCAAGACTTACAGCACGAGCATATCTGGGCTGATCTTCCCTGATCTCACTAGAACCGTTGCTGCAAAGGCACTGAGGTTGATTCTGGTATGTTTGAGATGCCAAGCCGCCGGATGATTCGGGACTATAGAGCATCTGTATGACTGGGGGTCAAGATTTCGATGAAAGCTATTCACCCCATGGCGCACACCAGACTCTTCCTGCATTTTCAACGCGATCGTCTGTGCTCTCTCTAGAGTACTCGGCTCTAGCGCTTTCGCGATTGCGCTTGAGAGATTCTGCACGTTCAAAATTTTATGTGGTATTGGTGCTGGCCCAGCTCCAGCACGCGCAACGATGTTTCCCCAGAATTGCTGGTCTCCAAAGAAAGGGACAATTATTGTCGGTCGACCTAGCGCGAGCCCTGCCGCTGTGGTGCCAGCACCACCATGGTGGATAACACATGAAACCTGCCCAAACAGCCAATCGTGAGGGCAGTTTCCAATCATCAGAATATTGTCCGGCACTTCGTCTGCCCCCAAATTCCCCCAGCCTTTTGAGATAAGAGCCCGCTGTCCGGAATTTTTGACTGCTTCAAATATGGTTTTTGTCAGTTTGTTCGCATTATCAACTACGATCGAGCCAAAACCAATGTATATTGGTTTTGGTCCTGCGTCGAGAAATGCAGCTATTTCCGTTGGTGGTGTGTAGCTGGTCTCTGAGAGGAGGAAGCCAAAGCCGCATACATCGATGTTATCAGCCCAATCAGGGGGCTTAGGTAGTAATGAAGGGGACCTGTTTCAAATATTAAACTACTTTTGCCAACCAGGAATATGTTACTAACCACATATACGTATGTGGCACATGTAGTCGGTGTAGTATGCTTGGGGCAGTCATTGTATCCAGGGGTTGGAGTGCCAAGGTATTTTTGCGAAGTGTGTTCAGAATATCTCCTAATCCTTCCCATACCATCATATCGACGATATTGTAGGACACGAAATTTGCGATAGTTGGCTTGCAGTTCCGGCGGTGGACATTCGCTAACGGGTGGGGAAAAGACTGGGTTGGTGACCAGGGCATCCTATTATTGATTAGGTGTTCAGTATACGAAAGGTGCATAGAGATTACTATATAAGAGAGTCAGCTCACGTGAATATGATATGGAGAGGGATACCCAGTCGTTGGGCGCAATGGATATGGGCAAGGCTAGGAGGGTTTGCTATAATAGCATCCGCCACAAAGGGCCGCTGTCGGTAATCCACTGTCTTACTGAATGGGTCTTCCTTAATCTGGTGAAGGTAAGTCCCATCACCCTTTTCAAAGCAAGATTTCCAACATCCATTGAAGATTTCCTTCATCTCACGGCGACGCCTCTGGATATCTCCGCTGCGTATTGCCTTGAAGCCCGGTAAAAGGCCCGGATTTTTGACCATATAAGCCATCAGCTCCTCTGGGTCTCCTCCGATATTGAAGAACTCTAGACCGGTATCGAGAACAAACTGCCGAAAAGCTAAATGTGTGGCCAATCTGACTCGATGACCGTGTGCTTTCAGTTCTTTCCCTAGTGCCACAAATGGTTGAATATCGCCTCGAGAACCAATAACTTGGATGACCAGGTTTAAGTGCAGTGGGAAATGCTCATCATTCGTGTAGGGCCGTTCCGCGCTGACAGCGCATTCGGAATCTCGCTCAGAATGTATATCCGCGCGTTGGATGTGCTTTAATAGCCCTCCGAGGTGCGGTTTATGCTGATCGATATGGATATCCACTCGGCCGTCACCTACAACAAAACGTGATCCCGTTAGTCAAAGTCAGCGATCATTGCCGGAACATTTTTTACCTAGAATACGGGCGTTCAACCCATCCTCGAAGAATTGCACTCCATCGGGGTCATCTGATGCTCGCTTAGTACCTTCACTCGCCCAATCACCCGAGCGATTGATGTCCATTCTCTCGAATGATATTTCTGCAGGATTTGGTGCTAGTACAGTTGCCATGATCGACGGGGGTATGGCGCGTGGGATGGCTAGAAGAATAATTGTGAGATTGACGATCAGGAAAAGCGATGGTCAAGACGACGAGGCAAGACAAAAAGTCCAACACGTGGCGAGGTCTCCTTGGACTCGCGCACTCTCACCTTCTCGTAACTCTGACAAATCCAAGTTCAAGATGCCATTCATGTTATGTTTTGGTGGTTAATGACGTCTGTAGACTCGTTACGCCCAAGGTATGTGAAACTTTAGCTTTTTGTGAACGATCGCTGGGTCTAGATCACCCGCCTTGCTCGTCACTCAATGCCTAGGTCTGCCGCGGTCTACTTGTTACCAGTAAATATAATCCGACCGAGAATGCGCCAGTAGATATTTTGTCCGCAGTACTATTTAGGATTTGCGTACGTCATACAATTCAAAACACTAACATCGTACTAATTCTCTATAACTAGGCGTTATATAGTTAACTGACGGAAAAATGGTGGTAAGGCGAGTGTATATGTGGCAGAAAAATCTCAATAAATTCTCCAACTCTCTAAAAATGACAATCTTGTGAACAAGTTAGTAATCAAAACAAACAAAATGAAATGAAAGGATGTTTTTCGCCAGAAAAGCCACTGAGTTGGTTTTTCTAGTAAAACCAGCCTGGTCAATCACGTGACCCATCTGTATCAAGGATGAAAAATGACGGTATTTATCCGAGATTCTGACATCAACTTTAGTCCGATTAATCCGGGCGGGGCTCCCGAGGTCTCCTCCCCACTCTCCACGCCAATAGCGTCTAGTTCCTTATGCCATCTTTCGATCACCGCGATTAATCTGATATCGATTAAATATCACCATGGCGAGCACATCAATTTTAATATTAAAACAGAACCGGCGAAAGCGACCATCATTCAGCCCAGCTAAGTTTAGGCATTCATCCCTCCCACCTCGCGCCAGGCCCGAGTCCCCAACCGTGAAAACTGAGGAATCTGCAATCAACTCAGCGTATTGTAGTGACTCATCCGCCCTCGACTTTAACGAGTCTTCACTGCTTGATGATGATGGATCGGCACCATCATTAGGGGACAGATGTCATGACTTGCTTTTTGAATACTTACGAGAGCATTTCAGGGTGGAAGACATGTGGGTCATGCAGCCATTCATATTCCTTCGTTGCTCTGAGCGGCCGGATCCCGCCCGGATCCCGCCCAACGCCCTTTTACCATATCGGGCTGCTTAGCCTTCTGGCTGGGAATGGATGACCCGCTGCCAACTCTCACTCCTGGTTCTTCTGGAGGGGAGATAGAAATAGACGAGTTCGTTCACGTGGACCAAAATCTGGTTCAGGACTTGAAACCGTATAGGATGCCAAAACCAGAAACGCTCCTTATGGTTCTTATACAACATTTCCCGGAAGCCGCAGCCATCTCCTTCATCTTCAATACCATTATAGTTGAATTCGACGAGGTCGATGAGGATGCGTGGAGAGAGAGAGAGTCGGGCCCCTACCGTTTTCCTTCGCGAATCTCGCGTTAGAACTGACCTACTCGAATGGGTTGCTCGCTAATTCCGAGCGGAAACGGCCTATAGCCCCTAAGCCAGCAGATCTGAATACCCTTGTTTCAGACGACTCCGACTATATTGCTGCTACGGGGTTCTTCAATCCTGGAGCGATGATTTGTTCTGATCAAGAGGATGCCGTCTCCGCTGGGGTCTTGGTGGAGAAGAGTTCTGAGCAGGGGCTCACCGTTGCGTGTCACTGCTGGGATCGGGAGTTCGACGAAAGGTTGGATCACCTGGGAGATCCGAATAATTTCCGAGTGCTACAAGCAAACTCGAGGGTCGGTTGTGTGACTGAACGTATCGACGAAACTGACATCGGACTTGCCAAGCTGGACGATACTGTTGCGTTTAGCAATAGATTCCTAGATATCGAAACAGCAGCTAAAGTCCTTATCCCATTCACCGGGGTTAAGACAGGAGACAAATTCTTCATTGACAGTTTCGTTACCGGCCGGCAGCGCCTTTTATGTGCCGGAGTACGGGTACTGGGATGTAAGAGATGATAGGACTTCCTCCGTGATAGACGAGAGAACCCGCCCGACAGGAAATATGTCATCATGCACCAAGGCATTTATGCCACCAACGACACCATGATTACGACTGTTCCACAACTACGTGCAGGTATCTGTGGCTCGGTTCTTGTACGGCTACAGCGTGCAGGGGAGGAATCGATTTGCCTGGAAGATGGAGAAGTATGTGGGATTATGCATTGGGCCGAGTTGGCTACGAAGTACTCTACGAGCCTCAAATTCTTTTGCTTCGCGGACCGTATGGACCCTTTAGACTCGAACGGATGGGCATGCGTTCCCGTCCCAGAGAACCCCCGTTCCTCTTCCTAGCTCTATTAACCACGACTCATTATCTAGCGACTACAAAATTACGGGCAACTACAACCCGCTCGCTGTATCATTAAATACCGATTATCTATGATTAAAATATGATTTTCTATTATTACACATAATAGGTCAGTAATAAGTAGAGAAAATAAGAAACGTGTACTGTCTGTCAGCTTTATAAAGGTCACATGACCTTATAAAATAAGTTAGATTAGCGAGTTCTTATGCTAGTTCCCCTCCTCTTCCGCAAGCTTCGTATACGCCCGTCTTACATAGAACACAGAGGGCTGCTTTGATGCTGTAAATCATAGATCGGAAGACAGTCCAAATACCTAAAAGTTCAATATGACATCGTTAAAGGACAATGTAAATTATTTAATCATCCTCAGAAGTAACAAAAAGCAAAGTCAATGATCAATCAAGAAGAACGTATGAAAAACAGGTAAGACAGTAAGTGCCAATATTTCGACTTGCAGAGAAATAAATCGGGATATTGATGCCATAAGACCTAACCAGCTCCAAAAAGGCTCCTGCAAAATCTTGACCATGGCAATGTTTTTTCTCCTGTCTTCTGTTACGTGCCAGGTTCTTTCTAGCAGAAGAAGTGCATTGCTAAACGAATATCAAGTATGAAGAAGGAAAAGAAAAGAAAACAAATGTAAAACAACAAATGGGTCTTTATACCCCTTCGGGGGCAAAGCCCTATCCTCGCTTCCCCCAGAAGGAAGGTACGACTGTCTGCGCAAACGAGTTCCTTCGAACGGGAAGGAACGACCAACGGTACAATCCCAGACGGGAACGTACGAGTCTCGCAAGTGCCAATCGTGACATCTTCTTCCTTCCGATTTAACCTGTTCAGCCTGTACGGGGTGATAGTGGCGGTAACTTCACACCCTAGGGGAGCATCCTCTGCACCGAGGGTGTGAGTCCCACTCACCCTGGGTGAGCTTACTCATTCTAGGTGGCTTAAGCATCCTAACGTTACTTGGAGTCTCATTCGCGGCGTTCATTGATCTTTATTACTCTCTGCTGTTTCAAGATCTCGTTCGGGATCATGACCAGCTCCCAGGTGAACATGCTTCGGATGGCAGACCAACCACACTGCCATTGACTCAGAAGATCATTATTGGCATGTCGTTGTTTGTACACCTGAATGCCTTCTACTTCGCTATCCGCCTATTCTTCGCTCTACTCAAAACACCGAGAGAGTCAAAAAAGGCGTTGCAGCGCCGCCACTCCACTACGCCAAAGTCTGTCGACACGGAAGATGCTTTCGAAGCAGAGTTGGCAGGCAATTTTTCGTTGAGTGTTCTTGGGGGGACTCAGTTTAAGGCAGAGTCGAAATATCTTGTCAACAACCAGGAGGTCGTTCACGCCATCATCTTACCCAATTATAAAGAAAATTTTGATACCTTATGGACCACGCTCCATGTTCTAGCCAGTCACCCTATAGCTGCCAGTCAGTATGAGGTGAGTTCCGTTCTAGTCGTTCATTTCTTCATGAAGGAGCTATATTGACCGATGATTGTTCCAAATTAGATCTACCTTGCAATGGAACAAAAGGAGCTCGAGGCCCCTGCAAAAGCGGTCAGTCTAGTTTCAGCTTTTGAAACCAGATTTTCTTACATTGAAGCCACGTTCCATCCGTCTGGAGTACCAGGCGAGATAGCCGGGAAGAGTTCCAACGTCGCATACGCCGCTCAACGTATCATCAATCCACACAGAAGAGACAGCAGGGAGGACTTGGCCAGTAGATTAATCACTGTTATTGATGGTGTGCCGAGACATATCCATCTTCTATTAAGACTTCACCATGCTGATAACCCGTATGGGTAGCCGATACCTATCTATTGCAGGATTACTTCAATGGGTCCAACGACTTCACTTCGACGATATTGCCAGCCCCGAACTATCCTTCTATACCTGTCCCATCATCTTCGATCGAAACTCATCCGAAACACCGATTCTAGTCCGCTGTGCAGATATGATGTGGGCATTCGCAGGTGTCTCAGCCATGTACCCTAGATCCCCGATCTCCATTCCCACCTCCGTATATACTCTTCCTCTCAGCATGGCAGAACGAGTTGGGGGATGGAACAGTGATGCTGAGGCAATTGGTGGAGATATGCATATGCTTCTCAAGTGCTACTTTGCCATGGATGGCAACATCACCACACGTGTTGTCGCAAGCCCAGCGAGCCAATGTAATATATCCAGCAATGAGCATCGTGGCTGGCGCCGGGACATGGATATTTTGGCAGCTCGCTATCGTCAAGCTTTGCGCCATATGTGGGGTGCACTGGATACGGGATTTTTCATTCGGCAGAGTGCTGCCAACCTGTCGCATCCCAGCTGGCAAATCCTTTTCAGCGGGACGCAATGGGCCCTTGCGCATCTTCTCTTCGAAGCGCACTTCCTTCCTTGTCATTTGATAATCACGTTGGCTATGTCATCTATTTATTTCGCTTTCATTTCCTCGGAGTCTATGCATCCGGATTTGGAGTGGGCATTTCAATTCACCGGCGTTCTGGAGGTTTGTTCTTTCATTATGATGAACATCTGCATGATAGTCTATGGAAATTGGCATAATTTCTGCGTCAATACCTGTCTTACGGACATGATGGATGCCGTTGTCCCTGATGCGGGCTTTTCATTCCGAAATGAGTGGAATGGCGGTACTCTTCTCGAGCGTATCCTTTTTCCCATGGCGGGAACATTGTTCGGGCCCGTCCCGGCCATCCAAGCTGTCTTTTCTCATTTCTGGACTGATAGATTGGTATATAAAGTAAGCCGAAAGCCAAGCTTCCGTCCAAGCTCTGTCTAAAAGATATATCTTCTCTTGCGGGCTGAGACTTGGATTTCCATGTGGCGATGAGAAATCGTCTTTAGTTCACTCCAATTCTGGCTTTTGATCCGGTATTACACTCATTTATGATAGTGTGACCAGGAATTTCATAGACATTCTTTCTGTATCTCTACTGATTGAATACAATTTCTTGGGTTGCTGCTCAATTCAGTAGATAGCCTCGTCTCTTCCTCTCTTCTTCTCCTATCTGTCAGCGATCATTGTACGGATTATCACCCACAGTTTCTCTTTGCATCTAAATTCTGTAGATTCTCTAGACTTGTGCATTTTTTCATGCCTGCGATTGCTCCCCTGGGTCTTTAGCGCTGATTGAACTGATTCATCTAACCTTCCAACGAGCAGGTCTTGTTTTCAATACGAAATCGATCTCGTTATTCAAGCCCACACTCACTTCTACGAGCGCAATGGGCCCTTGGACAATGAAGTCATTGATCCTGCAGGTTTGAATAATCCCAAATCCCCTTGGTATATTACTAGCGCCGCCCCTGGCCACTATGACGGATTGGACAGCGTTGATACCCCCTTGAAGCCTGATGCTGTGTATGGAGAGGATAATGCCTACGAATGGAGCAAGATCACCTTCCACAACTGCACTCATATGACTCATGAATTTGTGTCCAGCAGCAACAACACTATTCTCGACACTGCGACCTTGTTCAAAGATTGCAAGTGCGGTTCAGGGAAGGGCAAGCCCTGGATGTGAGCTCGACATCGATATTGAGAAGCCAATATTGTGTTGTTTTGTAAATCATTGTTTCCTTTGGGGACATACGGATTAGGGCGTTCAGCCTCGAATTAGATATTCTCATGTGTGGACCAGCACTTTCGGAATGCGTTTGTGAATTGAAATAAATCTGCCGCTTGCGAGTTGCAAAATATGAACCCATTAGTTAGTACGCCATGGATAGATGTAAACAATTAAGTTCAAGATTAATTAATACCCTTGTAGGCTAGACTATATGCCGATCCCTAAGGGGGCGTTTTACCGGTCCCCGGCCGATGAGCTGAGTGAGTTAACCGCAGCTGGTAACAGTGATATCAGTCTCTTCTTGTTCAAACACGTAGTGAGACTACGCCAAGAAGACAAACGAGAGGAAATGCATAGATTGCTTTCAACCAGCACTTTGCTATGGCAACGTGAGAGAAAAAAAGGCACAATGGACTTGGCCGTGTGGCAGGATTGGATTTTCTGAATCGCCATTGCTTGGAAATCCAGAAGTTTTTTTTATATTTTCCTTTATGGGCAGGGGAGCAATTGTCTGACTCCATACACCTACCTGAATAGGCAATAGACTAGGTCAGGGGCCTAGTTCAAAGGGGATTGTGCTTGGAAATACCCCGGCAATGATTGGCTGGAAGCTAGCCCTAACTCAGGCAGAAGAAATGTATCAGGAATATCCAGCAAGCAGAGACAGTGTGCAGAAATATGTATATATAAACATATTTTGTGCTATTGCCTTGCGAGATGCGACAAATTCTGTTGATCTTTACAAAGAAATAATCACTCGTCATGGCTAGCACTATCTACATGGCAAGTGAGCATGTGGTCGAACAACTAAATCAAACCCATGCCGCCAACGAAAAGCATTTCGATTCAGGGGAGGTCATGCGAGACATGATTATTGGTCTGGCTGATGGAATGACAGTACCGTTTGCTCTGACGGCTGGTCTATCTAGCCTAGGCTCTTCCAAGCTGGTCATCCTCGGCGGTCTTGCTGAACTCTTCAGTGGGTCGATCTCAATGGGCTTAGGGGCCTATCTTGCTGCTGTAACTGATCGAGACCATTATGAGAACGAGGAGAAACGAGAGCAAGGAGAAACGAGAGCGTGAAGAGGTTGTCTCCAAGCCAAATGCAGAAAAGGAGGAAATCCATGGGATTCTCTCCGGTTACGGGATTTCTCGAGAGGCAAGCCAGAATGTTGTGGATTGCCTGTCTGAAAACCATGAAAATTGGATCCGGGTATGTCAGCATGCTAGATAAGAATCAATGGTGTTATTGGCTAATGTCGGGACCTAGTTCATGAGGAGCCGAACGTATCCAGAGCGTGGATTTCGGCAGCAACGATGGGGATCTCTTATTTCATCGGTGTGGATATTTGCTCTTGCTATTATTTCCTCCATCCACGACTTATCTGAGGACCTGACTAACATGCGAGTACTTGTTTCTAGGCGGCCTCCTTCCCATGATACCCTACTTCGTTATGCACAAGGTTGTCCACGCGTTGTTCGTATCCATCGGGATCACAATTGTGATTCTGGTCGGCTTCGGCTTCATGAAAAATTATGTCGTGATCAAGACGAAACAAGCAGGACTGTACGGAGCGGCACAGGCCTTGTTGGTTGGCACCATCGCCGCTGGAACCAGTTACGGGATTGTGTATGGCATCGATCATAGCAACCTTTATACATAGCGTGTTGCGCTTCCCCGGGCCAAACACAGTCTGTTATCTATGGGGGAAATTACATATGGCACTTTATAAATGAGGGGCCTACTGAAAAAACGCATAGTTGAAGCCGACTAGAAGATTTAGACATTTTCGAAATTTTGGAAATCCTATGTGACGAAAGATAGCATGAACATTTCTCAAAGCCACTAAGGCTCTTCGATCTATCACCATCTCAAATAAAATATTCCATGATTTTTTCAAAGCCCGGTTCTTGCACTCTCACACAATCTCTATGATCACATACCATGCCTTTCAATTTACTCGCTATAGGACAGAATTACACCAGTGCCTTGAATGATACAAAATCCGCTGGGACATTTGATTGAGTTACAAATGATTGAATTCGACAAAAGAATCTTATTAACCCTTCGTAGGGCTCTTCAAACAAAGAATCGATCCTCTTGGATCTTTACAAGCCTGGCTTTCTTTATCCTACTACATATGCGCGAGCTTGACGCTGCAAGAAACATGTTCTGGGGGCGCCACAGAGACCTGGTATGACTATAAGCTCACTTTGAGATCTACTATCTTGCTAATAACTGCTAGGGAGGTTGCTGGATTCATCCGTCTAAGCAAATTAATCTCATTGAGGAACAAGTTGCTTCTTGCAGTTCTCTGCTAGCTTCTTATCATTCTGTCATTGGATCAACTCCATTGACCATGAACTGGGACAGCCAAAAGTCGAAAGAGCTTCTCGATAACGACGAAATGCTTATCATGTCTATGAAGGTACTACAGTCATACGTACGGGCCCTGAGTAAGTTTCCTCAAACCGTGTTCTCTGATGCCACTTATCTCACCAGCCCATAGGGGCTTAGTAAGCTTGGCAAATCCTTGCATCAATGTCTAGAAATTGGATCGCACCTGAGAAGGATGCACTTCTTGGACAATATAATCCATGACGGGAAGGGCAAATAGTGCAGGTGGGAGATTCTAAGACTAGAAAAGTTAGAGGAAGGGAGTGAGTGGATATGATATGGCAGAGCTAGAGGAAGCAAGGGCTCCAGGGAGGGAGGTCAAAAAGCAAAAACAAAAAACTAGACCTACATCAGGCTTTGTATTGAGATATGTTAACTGTATGGATATGTACATGGGAGACATGGAGCTGATAGAGTAGCATACACCTGTCATTGATAATGTTCTCAGCCTCGGCAAAGATGGATATCTGACTAAAATGTCGATTTAACCAATTCGATTGAGATGTTTCCCTAAAGCTTGCTATCTTGTTGTCAGTTATACTCCTGTGAAGAGGGCCCCATGTTCGAGGTAATGAGTCAGCAAAATTCCCCCCCGCCGGGCGCACTAACCGCTTGTGGAATGTAGCCTCAATTCTTTCCCCAAGCCTAAGAGCCTTTAATTGTGGCGAAGGTGAAGAAAAACACAGAATTTCATCCCATCCACACAGATTTATTGAGCTGAGCGCACTGGAGAAAAAGTGGCAGCGTTGCCTTTGATCGCATTTATCCCAGCCCACCCGAGAGGAAACCGAAACCAACTGTCAGCAACATCAATTAGGACTCAAAGCTGGCGCGAATGATATTACGACCACAAAATTTACAAGTCTGATACAAAACCAATGAGTATGGATGATCAGCGGGGGTCTAGAACTGCCCCCTTCTACGCAGTGCCATCCCGTCGCCTCGTCAGCGTCGAGCACCCTGCCGTGATCCGCAATGTCGACAAGGCGATCGAGACCTTACAAGGCGATGCCGGAATAAAAGCAGTGAGGAAGCTTCTCCCTCTGCCAGAATATAGAATACACACTGATATCATACAGATTCTCAACCCGGCCACAGACGGCACACTAGCTAATCTGGTGTTGCGGCCAGAAGATGCCATGGCTCGATCGGTGCAGTCAACAAGCATCCAATCAAACAATGTTTTGCTCAAAATTACTGTCCCCAAGCGGACAGGACGGAAGCGCAAGAGAGGCTCGAACGAGCCTTTCGCAGACGCACCGGAGTCAGAAGCAACTGACGCACCCCGGCGACGGACCGCTAAGGATCTCCTGCGCAGTCTGAGTGATAACCCTTCTAAGTACCAGATTGAGCCGGTCGGGAGGGTTGAACTAACACATGTGTTTCGGGGTAACTTCACTGCTCTAATTCAATCCATGGCGAGTTTGCTAATGTCTGATATTAGGAATACCTGATTTCGTTTACTCGACCACGGCCAGTTCATTTACTAACCGGTTCCGAGACCAAATTCTCCCTTTTGACTGTGAGTTTGAGTCTGCTTACCATGAAGCCCACTCGAGATGTGACTAACAACCCACAGTCGACAAGATGAAGCAATTTGACATCGACATGGCCAAAGGCGCCGCCGAGAATGCAGATCTGATCCCGCCACCATCATTTAGCCACGGAGACGTCCCCTTCCACTACGTGTAAGAGCCACCCTACCGAAAGCACCGAGCTAAGACCACCAGTCCACTAACTCTCCCTCCCAGCTATCGGCAAAACCCGACAGTAAAACAAGCAATCGGCAGCTCCGGCAAACTAGAAACAGTGAACACGCAAACCGCCAACAAAATCCTAACCCACCTAGTCCCCTACGACATACCCGAAGTGCCATCCGAGCCGCGCGCGGACATGCTCCCAATAAGCGCACTAGACGCAGGCATGCTCCGCACAATCGCGACGCTAAACGCCCTCTACGAAAAACAGCCCGCCTGGACACGTCGCGGACTACGCAACAACCTAACAACCGACGAAGACCGTCTGAACCTCCGCCACGCAATTCCATACGTGGGCTACATCTTCCGATCCGGGCCATGGCGCGATGCGATCATCAAGCTCGGCCTCGACCCACGCACCTCACCAGAGTACCGACATTACCAAACCTTTATGTTCCGACTTCTAGCACGGGAAGCGGAGGTTGCGCGAGACGGAGGCGGCGGACGACGCCACAATGTGCCACGACCGAGCGACCAGCGCATGGGCGAGGACGAAGCCGCCAGCGGGCCATCGACGGGCCATATTTTCACCGGCAAGCAGCCGTTCGCGCAAGACGGACGGATCTGGATGGTGGGCGAGATCAAGGACGAGCAACTGCAGGCTGAGCTGTATCCTCCTGATGCGGGGCCTGGGTTCCTGCGCAGCGAGTGCGATATTGTGACCGATGGATGGTTTGGGAATGGCACGCTTGCGAAGGTGAAGACGGTTATGCGACATAAGATCCAGGCGTTGATGGAAGGGCGGGAGCCGGTTGATGAGGATTATACGAAAATTATGCAGCTCCCTGCGCATGCGCGGTCTGAGGCTGATTTCCCGTTGTTCACGCTTGATCCCGAGGTTGCGACGCAGAAGGAGATTAGTCTTGCTACGGAGGTTCGGGCGGTTATCCGGGGTTCGCCGGTTTGGAGGAATTTGTCAGCTAATGCTGGGTTGGTTAGGAGGGAGATTGGGGAGGGGAGGGGGAAGGTCAAGGGAAAGCAGGCTGTGAAGGGGAAGAGTGCTGAGCCGGAACCGGAGCCGGAACCGGAGCCTGAGAAGGTCGACGAGGAGAGTGAAGGTGAAGAGGAAGAAATTCAGAGGAGGGAGATGCTGGCTGCTCAGGTTGCGGATGCTGCTGCGGCGAGAGATGCCGATGAAGCTGATGATGACGACGAGGCGGACGGTGACGGTGATGGGGACGATAGTGATGATATGGATGAAGACGACGACGAGTAAAGCGGCTACTAAATTACTGGATGATTGGCTATGTCTAGAACAAATGGTACTTTATGCTCAATATTGTAATCAAAATAATCATTTTATTCGTTGTTAAAACCATAGGCAGACTCGGAGTATATTGTGAAGCATCAGACACAACATAGAGAGTAACTCATCAATTAGGTAGGATAAAGAAAGTCAATCCGAGTGGTCGTAATAGTGAAGCAAAACAAATGCATAATTCAAGCCTTATACCAAAACACCCGATACACTGAACACCAGTGTCCAAAAAGCGACGAACACCATGACCCTTCGTATAGTTATACGACTTGAGGGTTTTGTGTTTTTGAAATGGTACTTAGTATTATGTTACTTTGCCAGATCGATTCGTAAGAAAAGAGTGCATGTTAAGAAAAGAGTGTACATCGAGTGGAATATATAGAAACATCAAACCAACCGGCCTTGGTATCTTGGTCCACTTCGTCGGTAAATTAGTAGATATTAATTCTTCTCTACTTATTCACAATCATACGAGCGGCTGACGACACAAAAAATAACGATTCTAAATTCTTGAGTGGCTGCTTGGTCCGTTCTATGACCAATGGCAGCCAGTATGTAGCCGCCAGTCCCCCTTCGTTCGTGCTCACGTGCATATTTATCATTGCGCCTGCTGCAGCTACGTTAGCTGGAAACCAAGCCAGAGGCTCTCAGGCCGAGAATAGGTGGTTTCATCTCAAATTATTTCTCAGTCAGAGTGGATCTTTGCCCTTGAGATGAGCCATCAACCGCTACAATTGTGTATTTCCTCCCCTTCTGTCTTGAGCACGCCCAAGAGGAGTAAGCTTGTCATGACCCATTGTACTAAACATACGATCTATTCAGTGGCAGATGAGGTCCATATTGGATTCCTAGGATGTATGAAGACAGATTATACACCTAATGTACTCAAAATTCCGATCCATGCTTACTGACCCCAAAAAGTACCGGTGGAGCGATGCCTATATTTTATTACAATTCTATGAGAGTAGACATGAAAATCTGGCAGATCAAGGCCAAGAAATTTATAAAGATCTCATGCTAACGAGAACAAAAGAAACTCAGTAAAAACTTGAAGCCATAGTTCTGCAGGGCTGTACCTTGAAGAAACTCGGAGCGGAACAACCACCACCGATATGACTGCCAAATGCGGACTAGTCTTTCTTTCGGGGTCTCTGCGATAGCCCGCGTCCTCTGTTCTGCTCTCGTGAATATCGCGCCGCATACAATCCCCAACTTTCTCCCCATCTCCCTCAGCCTCTCCTCCCCTGCGGGGTAATTCCATTCACTCATTCGCTGTCCGGACTTAATTCATTTCAATGGATTAGGCAGTTTTGTTTTCCCGAAAGAGTAAATGACTTGATGGTTTCTTTCGTTTTAAGTTCTACAGTCTCCGATCTTTTCGCATATCGACCGAGTCCACAGAGCTTCCGTGACACCACAACACAACATATGAGAGCTCAATTCCCCCCCGGGAAGACTGCGCACACTCCGCTCTCCTCAGCCGGCCTCTTGGCCCGGCCGTCATTGCTGTTTCTTTCCATTTAGTCGCCAGCCTGTGAGAAGGGTCAGATCAAAGCGATGGAGCGAAACATAGATATCTACGCCAGCAAGCTCGGCGACGAAAAGCTAGGTATGTTGATGAAATCTGCACAACTAGAACTGTTGTCCCCTTCCTGTGCTAACTAACCCGTCGTCTCAATAGACGTCAAAGTCCGAGCCAATGTTGCTACCGAATTACGAGACAGCATTGAGCCCCTATGTTCGGGCGCAAGCTATCCCATATTCTTAGCGAAGCTATGGCCGGTATTCAAAACTATTTTGAAGGGGGACCCGGTCTTCTTCAGCATGTCTTACGACCAGGTGAGATTATTGGCACACGCTTGCCCCTAGTGAATGTTGCGCATAACGAGCTAACAACCTTGGTCATCTATTAGAAATTACGAAATTGTATCCTCGAAACATTACACCGATTACCGATGGGATCCCCGGACGTGGAGCCGTACGCTGTCGATATGGTCGATCTATTGATGGAACTTGCGCGGATCGAAAACGAAGACAATGCCGTGCTATGCATGAAGACAATCATGGATTTGGAGAGGAATCAGGCCAAAGCCACCGCACACCGGGTGCAGGCTTTCTTGGAGCTTATCCAGGAAATGTTCCAGACCATGGAGCAGGTGGTTCGGGATACTTTCGACACTCCTAACCAGGCCACACCGTCGGGAATGCCATCGACGCCCAATGCAACAGCACAGAACTTCCAGTCTCCGCGACCCAGCTCGCCTGCTACCTCAGTATCAGATCTGGGACCCGATCAGCAGTCGAGCAATGTTCTCCTCAAGGGCATGCAATCTTTCAAGGTCCTCGCAGAGTGCCCGATTATTGTCGTTTCGATCTTCCAGACACACCGCGCATCGGTGCCGGCCAACGTCAAGCTGTTTGTGCCGCTTATCAAAACGATCTTACTGCTCCAGGCGAAGCCACAGGAAAAGGCCCACGCCGAAGCAGCAGCCCAAGGCACAATATTTACGGGTGTGTGCAAGGAAATCAAAAATCGCGCTGCATTTGGGGAGTTCATCACGGCTCAGGTGAAAACGATGAGCTTCTTGGCATATCTTTTGCGTCTTTATGCCCATCAGTTACAGGACTTTCTTCCAACGCTTCCTTCTGTCGTCGTCCGTCTCCTTCAAGATTGCCCGCGAGAGAAGTCCGGTGCGAGGAAGGAGTTGTTGGTAGCTATTCGTCACATCATCAACTTTAACTATCGTAAGATCTTCCTCGAGAAGATTGATGAGCTTTTAGACGAGCGCACTCTTATCGGAGATGGCCTTACTGTCTATGAGACCATGAGACCATTGGCTTACAGCATGTTGGCCGATTTAATACACCATGTTCGTGAGCATCTGAGTCGCGACCAGATACGGCGAACGGTTGAAGTCTACACTAAAAACCTCCACGACGATTTCCCTGGCACCAGCTTCCAAACGATGAGTGCAAAGCTTCTTTTGAACATGGCAGAGAACATCTCCAGACTAGAGGACAAGCGTGAGGCGCGGTATTTCCTAATTATGATTTTAGATGCTATTGGTGACAAGTTCGCATCGATGAACCACCAGTTCAAAAACGCTGTCAAAGTTTCAAGGGCGTACAAAGTTTTCCGACAAGAGACCGAGCCTTGCGCCGAGAACTACCTTGCTGAGAAGGACCAGCCACCGGACTGGGATGAGATTGATATTTTCTCGGCTTCTCCTATCAAGACATCTAGTCCACGCGATCGTGGAGGTGACCCAGTTTCGGACAACATCTTCCTCTTCCGAAACCTGATCAATGGGTTGAAAAATATCTTCCGGCAATTGAAAAATTGCAACCCAGACGATGTTCAGATTGACCCGAACAGCGTTCCCATTAACTGGTCAGAAGTTTCGTACGGTTACAATGCAGAGGAAGTTAGTGTGATCAAGAAGCTTTTCCACGAAGGAGCTCGTGTGTTCCGCTACTATGGGGTGGATCAGTCTCCCCCTGAGATGAACTACGCATCTCCGTTTGACTTCCTTGCTAGCCAGTACACTGCCCCAATGTCGCGCGAAGAAAAGGAGCTTCTTGAAAGTTTCGGCACTGTTTTTCACTGCATTGATACCGCGACCTTCCACGAAGTCTTCCATTCCGAGATCCCGTACTTACACGAGCTCATGTTTGAACATGGGGCTCTCCTTCACTTGCCCCAGTTCTTCCTGGCTAGCGAGGCCACTTCTCCCGCATTCTCTGGCATGGTGCTGCAGTATCTCATGGAACGCATCGATGAGGTTGGAACTTCAGACATGACGAAGGCAAAGATACTTCTGAGGATGTTTAAGCTTTCCTTCATGGCCGTGACCTTGTTCTCCGTGCAGAATGAGCAGGTCCTCCACCCGCATGTGACGAAAATCGTAACCAAGTGCATTGAGCTTTCAGTCACAGCCGAGGAACCTATGAACTACTTCCTTCTTCTGAGGTCTCTCTTTCGAAGCATTGGTGGAGGACGATTCGAGCTCCTGTACAAAGAGATCCTCCCACTTCTAGAAATGCTTCTTGAAACGTTCAACAACCTGTTACTTGCTGCCCGGAAGCCTCAAGAACGGGATCTGTACGTGGAACTCACCCTCACCGTTCCTGCGCGACTCAGCCACCTCCTCCCTCATCTCAGCTATTTAATGCGCCCAATCGTGGTCGCCTTGCGTGCCGACTCTGATCTTGTTGGTCAGGGTTTGCGCACTCTTGAACTCTGCGTGGACAACCTCACGGCAGACTACCTTGATCCGATCATGGGCCCAATAATGGACGAGCTGATGACTGCACTCTGGGATCACCTGCGCCCATCTCCTTACAACCACTTCCACGCACACACCACTATGCGCATCCTGGGAAAACTTGGCGGGCGGAATCGGAAGTTCCTCAACCACCCGCCAGAATTGTCGTTCCAGCAGTATTCTGATGATAACCCAAGCTTCGATATCAGGCTGATCGGTCCCAACGAGAAGCGGCCTTTTCCTGTAGATATCGGTATTGATCTCGCTGCGGGGAAACTCATGGAGGTTCCTAAGACAGACTCCGGGAAAGCTTCAGACATTTACTACAAGCAGCAGGCCTACCGCATGCTCAGCTCCCATCTCAAGCTCCAAATCGGTTACGACAACATCCCCGAAGACTTGACAATCTTGATCAGACTCCATGCCAATGATCTGTTCGAAAATAAGACAGGTGCTATGGCAGATATTCTTGACAAGTCGGAAAGATCGGCCTCTATTCCAAAGAAGATTGCGCAGGAAGCAACAGTAAAGAAACTTATCAAGGCTTGCATCTTTGCCACCACTATCCCCGAGCTCGAACCAGCCGCTTCAGCATTTGTGGCGGATGTGTGCAAGCACTTCGCTCTTGTAGAGGTCGGCCGTGCTCTGGCTCAAATCCGACACAGTCGCAAAGCCTTTGACGTCGCAAACGGG